TTTACAGAGGACACAGATGGTCTTGAACAAGGTTACAATAAGACAAGGAACCCATCTTGGAGCTGGACAAGCAGGCAGTGTAAATTGGGTTTTATTATTAGTGCCTGTCTTCAGAGGAGGAGGGGACTTTCTTCAGGGAGGTAGAGGTTTGGGGAGAAATAAAAGAATCACCAGAGAAGGAGATTAGGCAGGAGTTCCAGGCATGAAGGGACAAAGGATCAGCAGCATTAAATGCATGGGCTGATTTCTTACACACTTGATCGCCCTGTAAGATCAGAGACCTAGGAGCTCTGAGCAGGCCCGGTGCTTAACTCCTTCTCAAGAGGTGGGCCAGTTCCAGGATTTACCCACCACCATCCCTGTCCCCTTGCCCCTTAAGATTTATTCCTTGTTCATCATTGGAATTTACACATCTAAAGTATAGAAAAAAATTTTTAAATGATAGCAGAATAATAATTAAAAAAATACGCTGTGCCATGGGGTACCATTTGGCATCTTTACTACATCAGAGAATTTATTCAATTCTCTTCATTTTTTACATTCAAAAAATAAACATCATAATAAACAAGATCTTGAAGTGGTATACAAGGGTTAAGCATGATAATCTAAGTGTGCGTCAACTCACTGTATATAGACTATGATATTAACCACTCAAACAGTTTCCCTGACTCTCTCGTTGCCTTTATTGATATCTACTATGGACAAAAGGCTAATGATTGTGCTCTCCAATCCTTTTGTGGTGATGTTATATCATTCACTTATGTATTATTTCAAACGCCCCTACTGTTTAGTATTTCTGTGATTCAGGTGGCAATGTTTTGAACTGTGTGTAAGAATGCTAAGTGGTGCTGGTTACCGCGCGGAAAAGTCACGGCCATGACAAAACCTAATATCAGTATCAGAGCTTTATTAGGAGGAAGAAGGGTAGTGGGGGAAAGAGAACCAGGCCTAGGGAAGGAGCACGTGCTGAGAGAGAGAAAGATGGTGGGGGGAAGAGAGAACAGAACAGAGAGAGGGTGGGGTCTGAGTCACAGCTCTTTAAGGCGCAGGTGGGCTTACGAGATAGCCACACATGCATAGATTGCGTGACCAAGGCGTACGTAATCATCAGCATACACTGATGACGCAAGATGCAAGACCCCTTGTCTAGCTCCTGAACTGCGCATGTGCAGTCATGCAGCTGCAGCGCGGCAGAATCCCAACACTATGGCTACAGCTTAACCCCTTCTTGTAAGCCAACTGCCTAGTGTCATTTAGTTCATTGATAGTTTAATCTATGTTCTTGACCGGAGCCTGCAACAGATAACAAGGGGAGAATTCTTGTAGTTGCTCCCACGGATGTACTGCTCTGCTGGAGTTGTATGTGAGTTGAAGAAGATGGTCTCTGTGGTAGTTTGGGAAGAAAACACCAAAGCACTGAGGCCCAAATGAAAAAGCAACAACATATGAGTTAATTGAATGGTAAGTTGTCTGGTAATGCACATTGAGGCTACCATTGAGTTGACTACTGCTGAGATGACTCTCTGACTGAGTTGAGCTATACCCCAGCCCTTTCTGGTCTAGTGACATTAAGCAGGTCCTTACAATCTTGTCCTTGTGCAAGGCTGAGGATTCAGGAAACTTCTCATTGTTACTTGAAGCCAAGATGCTAGAGACTTCTTCCCAACACTGTTAACAACCACCAAGTGCCCCAGGCTTCCCAGCCTCTGAGGGAGCAGCCTCAGGCCACTGAGAGCCTTGGAGCTAGAGGTTGATTCTTAGGTTTTCCCATGATGGCTCACTGGTGACTTGGGAAGAATCAATCATTTGAGTGAATATGGAGCCCAGGGAAGGCTTCTGTGCCTTCTCCCTGAGCCACGGAGAGCCGACCCTTTCTTCATGGTGCAAGTCTGCCTTTTCCAGCCTGCTAATACTTTCAGACCTAGGAGGAAGATGAAATTAGGAAAGCAGATATCATTAGTCAGAGGAAAAAACCCAACAAACCCTTCCTGGTTCATTGGCGTGAAGGACAAGGGAGCCTACTCTAGGTCCCTGGCCTCTGTGCTGGCTAGTTGGGAGAAATAAGCCATAGTTCTAGATTTGTGGAGCACTTCAGTTCCAACCTGAGTCAGTAAAGCCACTTTTGAAATCCAGTTCTTACCCATTCAGCAGCAGGTAAGACCCTGTCTACTCCCCCCAACCCCACCACCCCGAGTTTGGCAAGTATGCAGTAATGGCTAATCCCTCTTGGCGTTTGCACTGAGCACAGTTGAAGGGACAAAGCAGATGTGCCAGTTCCTTTGGCATTAGTGCTCTGCAGGAAGTCTTCTGCTTGGGAGTCTGAAGACAAACAATTCCAAAAGACTGATCCACCGGAGCGCTTTCCAGAGGACTGGACCCTTAGATTTTCATGTAATGATACCACACATGCCCATCATTCACAAATATGGATCTTTTGTATCTAATTTGAAAACAGTCATTTGGCCCAGGGACACTGGGCACATTTTAATTTGTTCTTCCAGGAACATGAGTCCTTAGATTTGTTCCAAGACTGAAGTTATTTGTCAGGTGCCTGCTGTCCACAAGACAGGAGGAAGTAGGAAGTAGATGAGACCCTTTGTGCTCTCAAGGGGCTCCTGCCCTCGAGGGATAATGAAGCCTCGTACACGTTACCATGAGTAAATGAAAGTCATTGGCAAGAATGGCAGAACACTGGCATGATGGAGTTGTGGGGATGAAGGCTTACTTTCCTCTGGAGGAGGGTCATTACTGCGGACCTTAGAGACTCACATTTCAACTGAAAGGTGACTTCCCAAGCCAAAGTAAAGGAGAGCCAGGATCCTTTGGTGTTTTACATGAAAGGCTGTGTGCTGCTCATCACTCAATAGACATTCTCCAGATATTGTCTGGGTGTGACTGACTGACTGGACAGCTGATGATGGTTATAATGAAATCTCATTCAATGCCAAAAAGTTTCTGGAAATTAAACACTAAATATCCCCACCTTCCTTTTTTTTCTATTGAAGAAATCCCTTTTACAACTCCAGATTCTGAGATACCTACAGTGGTTATTTAAAAAATCTGGAATGTGCCGGGCGGTGGTGGCGCACGCCTTTAATCCCAGCACTCGGGAGGCAGAGCCAGGCGGATCTCTGTGAGTTCGAGGCCAGCCTGGACTACCAAGTGAGTTCCAGGAAAGGCGCAAAGCTACACAGAGAAACCCTGTCTCGAAAAACCAAAAAAAAAAAAAAAAAAAAAAAAAATTCTGGAATGTATCTTCATCTCCCTTCACAGTGAAAAGGACTCAGATAAAAGGCAGATTACCAAAGAGTTCAATTTCCAGGTGCTAGAAATGATGTGCTGAGCTCTGGGAAACATGGAAAAGAACCCTGTTCCCTGGGGCTGGTCCAGACTCACTTTCTAACTCCTGGTGTTTATTGGCCTCTGCCTTGTACCATCAGTCCAGGGATTGGAACTTTGTCTCAAAGCAGGCAAAGTGTCTACATGAAGTCTTAGTAAGAATCCTATGTGTGCAAAGCTATCTTACCCAATGTGGGAAATTTTTTATATGTAATATTTAGTGTGTGTTTTTAGACTCTTCAAGTTGTATTCTAATCTGTGTGTATTCTGTGTATTATTATGACCTAATTAATAACCACCATCATTGTCTATCCTATTTACAAGGATATTACCAGTTTGGGGTTGTCTTGTGAAGATTTAGCAATGATTTAAGTATTTTAAAAGAAATTTTCAGAACGTTTGGTGTTTTTCTCTTTATATTTTTTGAATTTTGTTTTCCATCTATAACCACAACAGCTAATGATGGAGGATCAATTCAAGCAGCCATTTGTGCCTCATCAAAACTGAAAAGAACGCAGGCCAAAAGCACAAGGATTTCATTGCTGTTCCTGTCGTTTTTTTTTTTTTTAATTTTTAATTTTTTTTTTTATGTCTTGCCGTATGACGCAGGCTGTCCCGGCTTCTCAAGTTCTGGGATTGTAGCATGTCTTAAATAGAAGTCTTTTGAGCCGGGCGGTGGTGGCGCACGCCTTTAATCCCAGCACTTGGGAGGCAGAGGCAGGCGGATCTCTGTGAGTTCGAGGCCAGCCTGGTCTCCAAAGCGAGTTCCAGGAAAGGCGCAAAGCTACACAGAGAAACCCTGTCTCGAAAAAACCAAAAAAAAAAAAAGAAGTCTTTTGAATAAGAAGGGGAAGGCGGATAAAAATTTTCTGGGGGAAAGGGTGAAAATACTTGTGGCCAAACTATCTTTTTGATGTTTCTGCATTTCTGCTACTTAAACCCCTAGAATTTGAAGACAGTTATCCTGAACCATCATTTCCAGTCAGCCTGTAAGATTTATGAGCTTGTATCCAATTCCATTTTTTACAGACATTTCCTTTTAAAAGATTTATTTTTTTTATTTACATTTTTGTGTCACATGTGAGTGTGTGTCACATGTAGTACCTTGGGCCAGAAGAAAGGTCATATCTCCTGGAACAAGACTTGCAGGCAGTTGTGAGCTGCCTGATGTGGGTGCTGGGAACTGAACTTGAGTCCTCTGGCAGAGCAGCGAGTGCTCCTGACTGCTGAGCTGTCTCTCCAGCCCCCACTTTCCAGCCATTCCTTCGGCACCCCCTAACATATGCACAGGCGCACAGACACACACAGTTCCGTCCCGACAGCCGAGGCTCTCAATTAACGTTCAGTCTGATGTCTGCTGACTGAACTGTCACTGCGTGATGACATCAAGGTGTGCAAAAATAGAATTTCTAGTAAGATCTTTCCCTCCAGCTGTGCCGTCAAGGTTCAAAGACTGAAAATGGTCCTTCAGAAAAACAGATGCCACTAAACTACAGCATTGAATCTATAAAGTCCAAGGAATGTATGGGGATTCCATTTAAATTCCGTCCTGTCAAACCTCGCCAGGCTCCCCGTCTTGGATGGTTATTCAGGAGCTTGCTGTTTCGTGTTATTACCTCTTAAAGGAGTAACATTTCGCCTGTATTCTTTCCTTGGAACAGGACAGCTGGGAGGTGGTGGAAGGACTGAGGGGCGAGATGACATACACCCAGGAGCCACCGGTGCAGAAAGGATTTTTGCTGAAAAAGAGGAAGTGGCCGTTAAAAGGCTGGCACAAGGTAAGACATCAGTGTTGGCTGCTCCTTTGTGAGCACACCCTCTAGCCACTCAGTACCAAGTTCTGTACTCTATGTTCTATGTGAAGTTGGAGACGAGGAGGGATATTAGCATGTACATCTTGCTAAACTCTGTTTGCTTCCCCACAGAGATTCTTCTACCTGGACAAAGGAATCTTGAAATATGCCAAGAGCCAAACTGATGTAAGTCTTCTTCTTGGCCCAGCATGCTGTTGCAGAAGTGTGCAGGGGTGCTTGAGGTCAGCCCAGAGCTGCAGTGCTCTGTGGGTAATAGTTTTTCCAGGTTGCACAAAGCCCCCTCTCCATATACTGTCTTAGCTCTGGATCTAGGTGGGCTCCGTTCACCACCAGGAGAAGAGGCAGGGTACCATAGTCGGTATCATAGGCCTGCTCTGGTTTTAGCTAATTACAGGAACAGTGCATGTGACAAGTGTCCTTCCCACTGTTATGGTGACTGAGGAGCTTGATGGAGAATGCCGTGGTTAAGGTGAACTTCTTCTTGGAATTAACCCTAAGAGTTTGTCCTGGAGGGTTCTGGGTGACCAGCAGGCCTGCCTCATGGGATGCTTAGCTCCTCCTTCCCTGTCCTTCTGGTCCTCCTTGGTTTCTTGTCTGTACCCTTCCTTTTGAGTCACTTATGAATGAATTTAGACAACAGACACTAATTCAGGGAAGAGAATGGCTCTTGCATTGCCTTGGAGACGGCTCATGGGGTTTTCTCTTCACTTCTGGGCATCCTGACTATGAAAACTCGTTATTTAGCCTTCTGCCCTTCAGCCTCCTCTTTGGTGAAGTAAGGCCAGTGCTTCTCCCTTACAGAGAGAATACCGTACCTGTGCAGTTCTTAACTGGGTCCTGCCTACTTGGAGGGCTCTGTCAGTCACAGTGTCTAGGTTTACCATTGGTGGATGTACAAGATGAGGTGGGAGGGGACCAGGGAGGCTATGACAACCACCTCGATCACGGTGACTCTCAAATAGCCCTCTCCCTGCTCCTGCAGATTGAGAGAGAGAAGCTGCATGGCTGCATTGATGTGGGGCTTTCTGTGATGTCTGTGAAGAAGTCGTCCAAGTGTATCGACCTTGACACCGAGGAGCACATCTACCACCTGAAGGTGAGGCCTTGGCCAGGGCCGGCTCTTACCATGCCGCTGCCACCAGGGCTTGTGTTGGTTGTGGAGTTGTCTGAGGCAGAGTCTTGCTATCTTGCCCACTCTGGCTTCAGATTCTTGGGCTCCAGTAGTCTCCAGCTTCAGCTTTCTGGGTAGCCAAGGCTAGGCACCGCTCTCCCAGCTTGGCTGTGTAGAGGGCTTTCTGTGGCCATGGGATTGCCCAGTACCACACTGCTGGTGATGACTTTGGGCCATCTATTCACCATTTGGGCAGTCTTTGTCACTAAAGTGTCCCTAAGGGGTACTATTGATGTTAGGATGGGCCAGCTTTTTCTTTGGTTGTACAGAACTGTCTCTCATACTGCTTGAAGAGTTAATGTCCTTATCACCATTCCCCAAATGTCACCACCCCTGATTGTGACAGCAGTCAATAGCAAAAGCACCTTCATGTGCCCCTTCCCCCAGGCTGTGTGTCTTTAGTGTATATAGAACATCTACCCTAAAGTATGTTCCCTGAAGTATAACATTTACTGTGTGCAGACCTGACTTATGGCGTTAGCCAGTTTTATAGACTTTGTTAAAAATCCTCATATTGTAGTGAAATGTCATTTTTTCACCTAAAATAGGAGTTTGCAAATCTTACATCTCAAAGCTTCTTACCCACTTGTCTTTCTCCTGAAGGTGGGTGTCGTCATAAAAGCATGGCGCTTGAGGCCCAGGGCAACATCAGTTCTTTTGTGATTGCTGGCTAGCTGTTAAACTTTGACCAGTCATCTAATTCTCGAAAAATCTTGGGGTTTTGTTAGCTTACCAAAAGAAAGAAAAAGAATAAAAAAAAAAGAGTGATTCCAATGCTCATTTGCAGGGCTATATGTGTAAGATTTATAAGGTTTGCCATAATTCCTTGGGGGTGGGGTCAGTAAGTTTAGTAAGCTTAATTACTGTCTATAATTATTAGGCAGTGTCTGGATGTTGGAGATAGATTGAGAATTGTTTAGTCAGGTTGCTTGATGTTTGGGGAATGGGGCTGAGGGTTGGGAAAACCGAGGTTCTCACCTGTCCCTGTCCCTTTCTCGAGTGTAGGTCCCCCATCTGTCCCCTAACCTAACCCTCCATTCTGGGTTAGTTCGGTGTATAAAGCAGTTCCGCTGACACTATGGCTGATGATCCTTTGCTGTGAGACTGTCCAGGTGTTATGGTTAAGCCTTTATCACTGGACATCAGTGGAGTCTCCTCTTTAGTGGTAGCAACCCACACTGTCTCCAAATATTTCCAAGTGTCTCCTGAAAGAGAAAAATCTCCCTAGTGAAATAACTATGGCAAAATAAAGGAGGGGAAACCTCTAATTATGTAAGAAAATTATATAAAAAATATTTAAGAGAATATACTGCTCCCCTGCCAGCTGTCAGTGGTTAACCTCTCTGGAAGAGCTGACACTGTTTTCCTGTATTGGTCCTGTGATTCTTTATTGTGTTTTCACAATCCTTGCTTATCTGCAGTTCTAGTTAGCAGAATGAAGTGATCACTCATGTCTACTTTTAAAAGACCTAGAATGAGATGCATTGGACTTGATAGAATGAGACAGAGTGATTCTCTGTAAGTTTTGCTTGGTTTCTTGCTCATCCTGAGTATCAACTCTGACTTGTAGTGTGTGCCTGTTGTTAGCTATGGTTTCCCTACCCCTTCTTTATCCCCGACCTCCCCCGACGCCCCTGCCACAAAGTCTTGAACTCACAAACCTCTTGAGTGCTGAGATTGAAGGCATGCACCACCACACCTGGCTTGGTTCTCTTATTTTATACCTGAGAAGTCTGGACAGGAGAGCAGTTAAGAAACCAGCCAGCCACAGTCCTGGAATGACTTCAGGGCCTGTGATAGACCCGTGGTTAGTTATTTAATAAAGTGCCTTGTTCCTCTCCTTGTTTAACCAATAAAAGATGAGTCAAGATGAACGCTTTGGGCGCTGGCTTTTTAGGGCTTTTGGGAGTAGATCAGTGCAAGGATGACACAGATTCTTATGAAATTCCTCTTAACGACATCTGGGGAATGAAATCCATTCAGGGGCTCACAGTGCAGAGGAGACAAATAGATGTGTGTCTGTCTGTGCTGTGGCTTCCTGCAGACATGTGCTAAGGAGGAGCCTCCATCTTCAGGTACCTCTAATTGACAGAGTCAGATTCAGCATGTCTCTGCTGCCGCTGCTGTCCATCTGCACAACCTCCTTTCCAGCCACAGCCTGAGTCAGGATCGCCACAGCGCTGGTCTGGCAGGCCATTGACCTATTGGACATCTTTTTTATTATTTTAAATTACGACTTTATGAGTCTATATCCTAACATCTAAGTATCACTTTGAAATTATGAATATCTCTCATATACACAAAAATATTGACTTAAGAAATGTCTGTAGTATAAAGGTGGTTGCACGCCGGGTGGTGGTGGTGGCGGTAAACTTGTGTATAATAACAATCACAGCAATGCAATGCTTTGTCAGATATTTTTCTTTTTGCTGCAAGAGGCAAAAATGCTCTTTTGGTTAATGCTCACATATGTTAACAGCTACTTCTAGCCATGCATCTTTTGTCAGGGTAAGATGAACACAGACCAGTGCTTCAGGCTACTGCATTCCAGTTCAGACCGATTGCACACTCTGAGCTACAAGTGTTTAAATGAAGAACAGAATTGATATGTACGTGGGCAAGCCTCAGGCTTGAGAACTTGGATTTGTCTTAAGGGACAAATGTGAGTTTTAGTTTATTTGTTTTTTAATAAAACTGGCCCCCTTTGCACTCTTAAAAGTTGCATGGCAGTTAGGCTATCTCAAAGGAAACACGAATATGTATTCTGAGAAGACACCACTTCCTCAGGTATTCTCCGAAACCACACAAATGTAAACCAAGGCAGTAAATGCGATTTCTTCTTTTTCATGTGTGCGAGCTCAAAAGGAGCAGGCCAGGAGTGGCCTCATGTTGATGAATAATCGATCCTTTTAGCAAGTGGCTCTCTTTGACGGCTCTCAATTTAACACCCTGTAGGTGAAGTCAGACGATGTCTTTGACGAGTGGGTATCCAAGCTCCGGCACCACAGAATGTACCGGCAGAATGAGATCGCCATGTTTCCTCGGGATGTCAGTCACTTTTTCCCAGGGCCCACTGTCACAGATTCCGCCCCAGGAGTGTTCGAGGCCATGTCCAGTAGGAAGGTAATGATTATGAGTCTGGGAACAGAGAGGCCCATTCTGGGAGTGAGTCTGTGGGTGGAGCAGGGTAAGTGGGGATGGTATTTAGTCAGTCTCTTGACCAGTGAGTCTGACCCAGGATGTAACAAGCATGGAGTAAGATAGGAAGCTCAGGCAAGGAGATTCCTGGAGTCTCGGGCTTCCTCTCAGCCACATTGATGCTGGTTTTCCTACCTGGCTGTTGGATGCAGCTAATTAAGCATGTGTACAGCAGCACGGGATTGCTGACCCTTCCCCAACACATCTTTACTGTGGTATCACCATGTCATAGAAGAAAATAAGGACTGTCACCCAAGGCCATGGAGCACGGTGTGGCTTAGCTGGGGTGATAGAGTCTCTTCTAGGGGAGTTTGCTAGAATGTTCTTCCCAAATCAGCCCACTGTCCTTTCCCTTAGAAGCTGTCCCTGCCACTCTATGTTTCGATTTCTAACCTGCTCTTGTCATCCGTGAGCAGCGCAGCAGTCTGTCAAAGCAGAATTCATTTCAAACGGGAAGCAACCTGTCATTTTCTTGTGGTGGTGACACACGAGTTCCATTCTGGCTGCAGTCTTCAGAGGACATGGAAAAATGCTCAAAAGGTAGAGCGGTTTGACTCCTGTGTTTCTTTCCGTCATGGCTCTGAGGTGGTGCATGCTTGGTATTGCCTTCACGTGCATTTGTGACCCATCTGTATGCCATCCCTTGCTTTGCTAATGAAGGTCTCCTCATCATTAGCCAACATGCTCTCCCCACAGAGCTTAGTGTCTTCATCTGGGTGCAGACAGACTTCCTAGTCTAGTCCTGGGATGGATGTATGAATTTCTCCTGGGGCCACAAATCATATCTCCAAGCGTTGGGACTGTCAGCTCACTCACAGTCTTTTAAGTGCCAAAAATGACTCTGCTGCCCACCCAAGATGCGAAGTCAGTGTCCACTGATTAAGTGTAAGTGGCCAGGTGGAAAGCCCTCTTAAGCATCCTCCACCTTGGCTGTGCACTAGAATCATGGAGAGAGCTTTGAAAGATTTGATTTGATTTTTAATTATGTATATTCGAGTTGAGGGGAGGGGTATGTGCATGTGAGTGCAGGTACCTACAGAGGCCAGAAGAGGGCATCAGGTCCCCTGGAGCTGGAGTTACCAGTGTTTATGAGCAGCTCAGTGTGGGTGAAGTTCGTTCCCTTAGAAGAGCAGTATACACTCTTAACCTAACTGCTGAGTCATTTGGACCCTTTAAAGCATGGGGGTGCCCATGCCTATGTCTCTGTCCCAAATGAGCTGTTTCAATTAGTCTGGGGTATGGCTGTAATGACCCTGATCCCAATATTCCTTGAAGGACTCTGATAAGGAGGCAGGATTGGTCACTCCTATACAAAGCAACTCAGTGGGTTTTTTGTTTTGTTTTGTAAGTTTTATTTCTTTTTTCCCCTCCAAGACTTATTTTTAAGTGCATTGGTATTTGCCTACATGTATGTCTGTGTGAGGGAGTCTATATCCCCTGGAACTGGAGTTACAGACAGTTGTGAGCTGCCATGGGGGTGCTGGAGATTGAACCACAGCCCTCTAGAAGAGCAGCCAGTACTTTTAACTGCTGAGCCATCTCCCTGGCCCCAGTACTCTCAACCTTAATCAGCTAAAACTCATCTAGGGAACCAGACTGAGATTTCTAATGGGATAGAGAGTTCAGATTTAATTGTCTAAAGTGATGCCTGGAGCAAATGGAATTTAAAATTTTCTAATTAAGTTGGGAGCTCAGTCATAAAGTATTTGCCATGCAAGTGTGAGAATCTGGGTTTGATACCCAGAACCCACAAAGTCAGACGTGGTAGTGTGTACTTGTAATCCCAGGCTTGGGGAGCTGGAGATACATGGATCTCTGGGGCTAGGCAAGCTTGGACTACTTGTGAAGATTCTGGCCAGTGAGAGACCTTTTCTTGATAAACTAAGTTGATATAGCTCCTGATGAAGACCAAAGGTTGCCCTTTGGTCTACACACGCACACACAGACACACACACACACAGAGAGAGAGAGAGAGAGAGAGAGAGAGAGAGAGAGAGAGAGAGAGAGAGAGAGAGTGTGTTTTTGAAGTGTGTCTTTGTCCTTGATTTTGAGGCACTAGTGGAGAAAGTTCTCAGTGGCAGCCTTCCCTGTGTTCCATGAGATGTGGTCCCCACTGAGCATGCCGTCTGCCCCTCCCGTAACTGCCACTTACTAGCTCCACTGACGAGCACTGGCAAAATGGTCCCCAGAGTATTGTTCCTGGCCAGCATCAGCAGGCTGGCCTGGGCGTATTAAAAATGCCAATTCCCAGGCCCAGACAACTTGTATGAATCATAAACTGGGGACAGAGCCTACAATCTGTGGGCTCACAAGCACGGCAGGGGATTCTGCATTGGAAGGCTGAGAGCTACGATGTTGAATCATACGGTCTGCGTGGCTCAGTGGAAACACCATCCGCATCCAGTGCACGCTGGCAGCCAGAGGTGGAGTGGGCTGTTTCTTGAGTTAGTGACTAGGGTCGCCTAACCGTGCTCTTCTGTCATCTGAGGACCATCTGCAGAGGTTCACTATTGCCCTGAGGCAGGTCGCCAGATACCAGTACAGCTAAGAGCCTATTGTTGCTGGATTAGGGGTGCTGCTGCTGGGGTGTGCGGGAGGCTGCTGTTTTCAATTGCTGCTGTAGGCCACTGCTGAGCACTCTGCATACATCAAAGTCATTTAACTCTCAGCACTATGGCTACAAGTGTAATTATCCCCATCTCCCCTATGAGAAAACTGAGGTACGGTTCACCAAGTGGATTTAAATCAAGGTGGCCTGGATCCATAATCCTTAACCACTATCATCTATGGCCTTTCCTGTGTGGGGAACATGTTAAGGGGGAAATCAAACATGGAAATACAGAGCCTGGTCCTCCCTGGTGCTAGTGGACGGTTGTGAACATCTGCCCTCCCTCCCACAGACCTGGCACACTGCCACGCCTACCTGCTGGAAATGAGCCAGCTCTTACAAAGCATGGACGTCCTGCATCGGACATACTCGGCACCAGCCATCAACGCCATCCAGGTTGGCCTGCCTGCCCTTCTGTTCACCTTCTGCCTTCCCGTCCTCTCTGGTGCCCTGCTTTGACTAACAGTGGGATGCTGCCCGTCGGGTTGCTTTAGCCAATCTCAGGGGGACGTCACTTCCCTGCGTGTTTGTCCCGGGGTTTCGGGGGACCTTACTGTCTGTACTCTCTTTCCTGTTTTGAAATGAAGGGTGGAGCTTTTGAAAGTCCTAAAAAGGAAAAGCGCTCGCACAGGAGGTGGAGGTCCAGAGCTATTGGCAAAGACGCCAAAGGAACGCTGCAGGTAACCTTCACTTGGCCGCCAGGCCTGCTTTCCTCAGGGCGCCACCCTGCACACCATAGTGTGTGGGGCCCCTGACTCAAATGGGACAGGAAAGTGAAGGTTCCCGAGTTGGTCTCTTTGCCCTGTGAGGATCGATGGCTCCTATTACGGAGACCCTCTGGTTACAGGGATAAGGCCGTGAGGATACTAGGGCAGGGGAAATTTTCCTGAGGGAAAATGGCCTGCCCCTGTTGTGAGGATTTGGGGTCTTTCTTTCCTTAACATCTAGCTTGTCTGTGATACTCCCTGCTCTAGTGTGTGCCTTTCTTGCTCTCATCCCTTGGCGTGGGCCTATCTTCTCCTAGAGTCCACAGGCCTAAGCCTCTGTCCTGCAGGCCCTTCTGCCATTTTTCTTCAATCTCTCCGTGCCCCATCCAGGACTGAACTTGGATGCTTTCAGAGTAAAGAACATTGCACGTGCAAATGTGAGCCGAGGGTTTGTTTTCCAGAGGCTCCAGGTGCAAGTACACAAAAATCATCTGGGAACGGATTTGCTCTGACAGCCTAGTTATGTGGTGACATTCGTTGTCACTTCAACCCATGACTCTAAAGCTGTCATCATGTCTGAGGCAGCATGGGATTTCCTGCCCATTTGAAGTTCGTATGATGCAAGTGACCATGGGGAGCACTGTCCTGGGTTTTTATTTTTTTCATTTTTCTTCAAAGTTATCCCTCGGTGGGAAGAGGCACCCTCAGATGCCTCCTTAGTCGGTTCCAGTCATGAAGGCTGTAGTCTGAATAGAACCCTCCCTTTTCTGTCATTTAGGTCCCTAAACCTTTTTCTGGCCCAGTGAGACTACACTCTTCCAATCCTAATTTGTCAACACTGGACCTGGGTGAGGAGAAGTGTTATTCAGATGGTTCTGAAGCCTCATCCGAGTTCTCCAAGATGCAGGAGGACCTGTGCCACGTTGCCCATAAAGGTAAATGAGGTTTCCTTCTTTCCAACATATTGGATGGAAATGTCTGTCAACACAAAACTACAGCCATCATCTTTAAGGGGATAATAGATAGTTTAGTCTGGAACCAATTTTGAGTGACCGTGGCCCAGGAACACAGAGCTAGGTTACCCCAATTTCCCACTTCCGAAGTAGAAGCAGTTTAATGAAGTCTTACAGTTTTACAGAACAAGAAAGTCATAAATCAAGGCATGTTTAAAATACATCGGAGGATACCCCAGAGAGGTGGTAACAGAGATTGAGGAAACTTTTCCATCTGCCCAAGATGCTCTCCTGATGACATTCTCAGCTTGTGGATTGGTGGAAACCTGTGATCTTTTAAGTTAATGGATTCTAAAAGGTTTTTTTGTTTGTTTGTTTGTTGTTTTTTAATCTATTAGTAACAAGATGTTAGTTTTGACTCAAAGATTGGCAGGAAATGTTCGAGAAGGCTAGAGGTATCCAAAGATAGGGCACTTTGCCTCTGGATTGGCCGCATTGCAGTCTCTCCACAACACTGCATTTCTAAGCAGGCAGTCAATCTCTGCAGACACAGCTTCCTCTCGGAGTTCTCGCTCACATGTCCAGTGCGTGACTGAATCTGGGGAGTCCTTACAGAAGCTGTCTCAGCTGGTTCATTTCCTGCTCCAATAAGGCTTTCGTAAGCCTCACTTTTATTTATTTCTTTGGTAGTGTAGACGTTGTCGCAAAGATTTTCTTTTGACCTCTTGGAAGAGACAGGGAGGGTTTGGGATCTAGCTAACACAACCCAACGATTCAGCCAACTGAAGACTGAAAATGTTTTTCAAGGTTGCATCTGTTTTGAGCACAGGATTTGTCATTGTCCTTAGCCCCTAAACAACACAGGACAGCAACTATACAGCAGTTCTTACATGTACAGGTACTTACGCATCGAAAGATGATTTAGCACATATTAGAGAATACGACACGGCAGGCCCACCATACTTTACAATCGGAGCGTTCTTATGCTGGCGGTAGGATATAAATTGGTACTTCGGGGATGAATATGGCATTTATTCCACCTATTTTCAACCCCTGCTGAACAGTTCCTCTTTGAAGAATCCATTTGTAGGAATTAACTAAAATGCATCCATGTAAAGATACCCACTCTAGCATTATTCCTCATATCAAAACTTAGAAATACGTGTTTGACGTTGTTAGCCACCACAGAAATACAAATGGTGCTGCGTGGAGGCCTCGCTGCGCACCGTCTGAAGGGAAGTCTCTTAATGGAGTCATGACTCTCCGGAACCGGATCTCTCATCCGTGACTGGTGACCATGGAAGATGGATTCTGGAGAGTGGCCTGGCAGTGTTGGAAAAAAAAAAACACTAAACATGTGCCTTCCATAAAACCCAATACCAGTGCTCCTGAGCAGTTAGCCCAGAGGAGTGAAAACAGTTATGCAAGACAACAGGGCACAGATGTTTAGGGCAGGGCTGGGTTGTGGCTCAGTGGTAGAGCCTCCATGTTAGCATCACAAAACCATAATATTAGGAGCGGATTTATTTGTATTGGCCAAACACTAGAAACATTTCAATGTCCTTCTACAGATGAACAGTTAAATAAACAGTGGTATCCATGTAGTGGAATACTACTCAGCAATAAATTGGACATGGATAGCTACAGCTACTGAGATAGAGTTCAAGGGCATTAGCAGAATGAAAACAGCTGATTTCTAAAGTTTACAGCCTCTGTGGCTTTACTTTGTAAATGGTATAAAATGAAAGAAGAAATTAGTAGGTGCAGAGTTTAGGGACTGGGTGGGGCAGTGAGGAGTATGGATGTAATTTTAAAGGGACCTTTGTGGTGATGGGCAGTTTTGCATTTGATCAAGGCAGTGGTTTTAGGAATTTGCCAATGTGGTAAGATCACATTGACCCATAGCCATACACATGTGTACAGCTGAGTGCATGTAAGTCTGAAGAAATCTGAGCACACTCCATTACCCTAACATCCCCGTCCTGGGTTTATGTTGTACTGTGGTTAACAAGTAAAATGTTACCATGGGGAAGAACTGGGTGCAGGACACAGGGCACTTCCATACTGCTTGTCAATTCCTTCGAGTCCATAACAGTTTCAAAGTAAAACTTATAAATAACCATGATTGGGGTTGTGTATGGCTGGGTGAGTAGAGTGCCTGGCTGGAAATAGTCTAAGTGTCCGACGATGAGAGGGGATTGAACTTTTTAATGTAACACAACAATAGCACCTCGCACTGAGCTCTGGCTCTGCTGTCCGGTGTTTGCTGAGTGCTTTAGACGCACCATTTCATTTCGTTCTAGCAGAAACGCGGGTGGGGAATGAAGTCTTCACTGCCTGCGTGGAAACCGAGGGTAGCAAAACTATCCAAGGGTCATGTGACAGCAAGCCTGAGGCTGAATTACAGCCTGGTCCAGGCCAGGGTGCACTCTGTCCATACAGATGGGAGGCCAAATGTTTAAGAAAAAAAAAAGTCTCCAATATCTAGTTACAAAGTTATTAAAGTTACAAAACAGTATGTTCAAGAAAAGTATGATGTCATTTTTTAGAAATAATAAATATTTCTGGCATACGTAAGTATATTTAAGTATCTAGGATGTGCAGAGCATTATTTTATTTGCAGATACTGAAGCTCTGAGGGCCGGCTAGGTCCCTCTGCTAACGTTTCTCTTCAGCCTCCATATACTGACTGTTACTGTGCAAGTGAAACGGATTAAGACACTTCAAGCGGCGTTCCCACTAGGGCTCCCTTCCTCTTCTTGCTGCAGACTTTTTCTTTCGCTTCATATTATTGATTCCCGCAGAAAATACTCCCCCGTGTGTGTGTGTGTGTGTGTGTGTGTGTGTGTGTGTGTGTGTGTGTGTGAAGAAATATGTAATTTTTCTTTCTCTCACCTGACACATCTCAAATCCATTTGGTTGTGAGATTGGTGATAAGGCAACCATATCATGCTTGGGACAGACTCCTCCCTCAGCCTCCTCTCATGCTTGGGACAGACTCCTCCCTCAGCCTCCTCTGCTGGCCACCATGTGCTCCTCTCAGTGGCCAGCAGGACTGCTGTCCCATGTCTGTGAGAGCTGAGGTGTTGCCTGGCCCTTCCATCCCGGCTCTTCAAGTGCCTCATGGACATTCTTTAGAAGGTCCTTGCCATGAGGACATTCTAGGATTTGTGGGCGTAGGCCTCTTTAAAACACTGTTACCTTTTAGTGTCATCAACTGCCTATTGAAAGCTGAGGAGACGTGCCCTTCTCCCACAGGGAGACAGACGTCTGGGTTTTACCTACACTGTTGAAACAGCTTGTCAGCAGGGTAGAGGTTGCCATCCATCCTGAGTGTGTCCATCGATCCTGGCTCCCTGCAGTGGTCCCGCCTCCTTGCAGGTCTGTAATCCCCACTCCCCCGCCCCCCACCTCACACACCAGTTGTGCTGTTGGGTCTTGGTCAACCCAGGAGGCTGTAGAGTTGCTGTTTATATCACTCATGTCCCTGAGGTCCAGGTTTGTGCTCCAGGAACAGGCCAGGTGCACTGTTCAGCCACAGCCAGTCCCCTGGGTTTACGGGAGCCTGGCCAGCTCTTCTCCCTTGCTGTGGCGTTCATTTCTACTTGCATCTGTTCAAGCTCCCTCTCGCCTCTTCAGCACCACTAGAGGGGCCTCATGGAACAAAGACCGTGCACAGGGTTGCCCTGAGCCCTAGAACCCCGTGTCCTTTCACACATCTGTGTATTCAGACTCAGCCATGCCTTTCTCCCTGCGAGGATCTTGTTTTGTTACAGACCTTGCCTGTTGTCCTGTGGCTGCAGCAGGGCTCTCCTGACTGGTTTCGATGCAGCTGGATTAAAGTTGAGGATTCATGTCATATAACATGCGAACCATTGAATGTGGCACAAAAGGTCTGAATTATGCTTTTGTAGATCTCAGGAGAGGCAGCAGAGACCCAGCCCAGCTATAAGAGTTCCTCTGTACATTCATTTTTAGGCATGCATTGAACTCGCCATGGCTCGTATTTCTGGCTTTGTGTATGTCAACACACATATAGGCAAGTGGGATGGAATACACTGACTCTTAAAGTCACAATTTTTGTTGCATATATTAGCTTTTACGTTTCCCAAAATGTATTTTATGGGATTCTTAATTCACAGGATGGGTAAAAGTCAAAACAAATTTTGTGATTAAAAACATCTGGAAAATGCTGCTGACTATGGCTGTTTTTGGTTTTACATGTGGAACTGTAGGTAGGGACATCTCCAAAACAGGCCTGCAGACAGGAAACCTGTGAGTTTTGTTAAGCTTTGATTTTCGGTGTTATTTGTGAAATCCCTCATTGACCCATGGCCATCTGGTGGGGAGCATGTCAGCAGACAGGCAGGCGTGGCACTGGAGCAGTAGCTGAGAGCTTAACATCTTATCCACTATCACCCAGCAGAGAGCAGTACTTGGCCACCCCCAGGGACAGGCCACACCCCCTCCAACAAGGCCACACCTCCTAATCTTCCCTAACAGTCCACCAACTGGGGACCAGACTTTCAACTATATGAGCCATTCTCATTCGAACCACAACAGAAGGAGGCATCTACTTTCTGGCATGGAAGAGAAACAGACGTCCTGGCGTCCTATTGATGAGATGAAATCCTCAGTTAGAGATGTGAAAACTCAGATGAGAACAAAGTCCACCTCTGTATTCCTTTGTGCCTGGTGTGTTTTCTAGTGTTAAATTGGAATTGAACAGTCACTTTCTCAACTGTTTTGAGCTACGGAAACCTTGAAGGAAAAGCCGCATCTGTTGCAGCAATACCAAAGATTTTCATAACCTGAGGGAAGGGCAGTCCGTGCATTGTTCACAGTTAGAGTTCACTGTACGTGTGTTGAGCAGTTGGGTTCATGTACATGCTCAGCAAAAAGTAGGGTCATTTAGCACAATTCACTAATGTATCTAAATCAGTTCAGATGGAATACCAATTAGAAAATAATTTACAGCTATGGGCACCATGGAAGAGTTGAAACTTAATAGAGTCAGATTAAAGATCACCAAATCATCCCAGATCACCTAACATCCAGATAGGAATGTTAGTCTTCTGAAGGTTAATTCACATGGTTTCCGTTAAGAAGAGAGAAGGGCTGGAGAGATGGCCCAGTGGTGAAGAGCACTGGCCGCACAGCACAAGGACCATGTTCAGATCCCAGCACCATACAAACGCTGGGCGGGGTCTCAAGTAACCCCAGCACAGAGGCGGGCAGAGACAGGAGGCCCTCTGGGCCCGCCAGCTTCTGACCTAGTGGGGAAGTCCCCAGCGGACAAAACCAAACCTCAGACTCCAGGTCCATTGAGAGACCCTGCCCTTGCACCCCACCAAAAGAAGTCCAAGGCGTAAAAGGATACTTCCTTGAGCATGCACATGCTCTCTGACTGTCTCTGTCTCTCTCTCACACACTACACACACACACACACACACACACGCACGCGCACACACACACACACACGCAAGAGTGAAAGGAAGGAAGGAGAAATGGAATCCTACTGTATTGGGTCTTGTGTTCTCCTGTGCTTTCTCACTGTTTCCTTAAAGCACGGCGAGATGCCAGAATTTCCCACATATTCAGTCCATTTAGGTTTGGAAACCGATTCCTGCAAAGTCTAAACCACAGCGAAGCATCAGGGACTGAGTTTACCTTACTACACAGTTTCTTCCCTCTGTACCACACAGTACTGGCGCTGTTGATAACTCTGGTCTCTCCTGAAGTTAAGAAACTGCTCCGGAGGGAGCACAGGCAGAAGGAGAGCTCCAGCTCAGGATCCACGTATGGCTTCCGGTCTCAGAGCTTCTCCAACCTGTTGCAGTCATGGGAGCCTGAAGCAAGGGGCAAGTGAGGGCCAAGAGTCAACTGGGTAAAACCTACAGTGTCCATTCTGCAGCTGGAGCTGAAGGGTTCTGACAGCCAAAAGCTTCTGGGGGTCAGGTATGGATGGCAGTGCTTACCTGTAATCCCAGGGCTTGGGAGGAGGAGGTAGGAGGACTGTGGGCTTGAGACCAACCAGGCAAGATCCTGAATCTCTCTCTCCCCAAGAGAGCCCAACCCCTGTCCCACTGTCCCAGTCCAGCGAGGCTGAGGGCAGGACAATGAGGATTTTTGTTTGTTTGTTTTTCGAGACAGGGTTTCTCTATGTAGTTTTGGTGCCTGTCCTGGATCTCACTCTGTAGACTAGGTTGGCCTCGAACTCACAGAGATCCGCCTGGCTCTGCCTTCTGAGTGCTGGGATTAAAAGCATGTGCCACCACCGCCACCCGGCTGACAGTGAGGATTTTAAAGCAGGTTCTGTGACTGCCTTCTGATGGTTGACTTCCTCGTGAAGACCAGCAGCCGTGTGGACAGTGTGAAGAGACCCAGGCAAGCATCGCATAGCTGCAGCAGGTCTCCGAGCACTGTGACTGCCGCAGGAGGCAGGCGGGACTGGAGAAGCATGGGCTAAAGATCATCTGGCAAGGGAGTGCTGCCTGGAGAGGGTGGGCCATCCTCTGGGGTGGGTGGCTTGGATGACTTTTGAGGTTCTCTGTAGCTCTGTGCATCTCAGACTTCTTTGTTTATAATAACATACCCAAAGGTGCAGTACACCTATTTAGATATCTTTTTTAAGCTTTTTAGTCTCCAATAAAAATTTTGGATGACGGGAGAAGGAGAGTAATGACACCTGACTGCCTCGCTCTGATGCTCTGTCTTCAGAAAAAGCTCCAGAAAAATCACTTGTCCTGATGGTTATCTTAGAGCTGTCCATTTTATAAGAACCTGGGGAGGAGATCCCTGGGAGGAAGGCCTGGGAAAGAGTCAGGACACAAAAGCTGCATCTCTGGTCGGCCCAGTGCTCCTGAGACAGGTGTCTGCATCATCTGTTGGGTGTCTCTCTGTCAATTGCTTGCTTGGCTGCTGCAAGAGGCCAGGCCCAGCCGAGACAGTGAGATGGCTGACTGCTCTACAGAGCTGGAGAAGGCAGTTGTCCTGGTGGAGAACTTCTACAAATATGTATCCAAGCACAGCCTGGTCAAGAACAAGATCAGCAAGAGCGGCTTCCGCAAGATGCTCCAGAAAGAGCTGAACCACACGCTGATGGACACAGGGAACCGAAAGGCAGCTGACAAACTCATCCAGAACCTGGATGCCAACCGCATCAGCTTTGATGAATACTGGACCATAATAGGCAGTATCACCAGCCCCATGGCCAACCTCATCCACCAGCAGGAGCAGCAGGGCAGCAGTTAGAGGCCCCTCTGGGCCCCTTTTCATGTCCTGACCCATGTCCCGCCAGTGTTCTTCCCATGCTTTCCATTGACTCTTTCCTCTCTTCTCCCTCCAGACCCTTTCCTACCCTTGTTGAACAGCACAAGGGGATGGGGGGCTATCACGGCCTCTTTGTGAGTGTCTCACTGTGGTCATGCTTCCCTGAGCATTCAGTCTCTGGAGGCTGCAGGCCCTGGGGGTCCCCTTTGTGAAATACCAATGCTGTTTGGGGGCCCCCCAAGAGTTTCCTCACCTGTCGAGTCTGTATACTCTCGTAGTGTCTGATGTTCCCGTCTGATCCTTGCCTGATTTTGGGTCTGTCCTGACCTCTGGAGGTGAGCTTGCTGCTTGAGGTCTCCCAGCTCCTGGCTGTGGCAGCTGTGGAAGTGGCAGCACCAATACTACCTTCTTCTTTTCTTCCCAACCTCTTAGCTGGGTGGAGAGGCGTTCCCAGGGGCTCCCGTCCAGCTGTCTCTGTCTGGGAATGACCTAACCTGGATTGAGCCTCCTCCCTGCTCTGCCCCTGAAATAAAGGCTGGATTTGGAGTTTGTAAAAAAAAAAAAAATTGGATGACATTAGAAATAAGAAGACACTCCTGACACAGGAAATGCCTCTAACCTTTGTGAGCCAATGTCACTGTCTTAGTCACGGCTTCCATTGCTGCAGTGAAACACCATGACCAAAAGGGAGTTAAGGGGGAAAGGATGTCTTTGGCTTACACTTCCACAGCACTGTTAATCACTGAAGGAAGTCAGGACAAGAACTCAACAGGGCAGGAACCTGGAGGCAGGAGCTGATGCAGAGGCATGGAGGAGTGCTGCTTACTGACTTGCTCCTCATGACTTACTCAGCCCGCTTTCTTTTTTTTTTTTTTTTTTTTTTTTGGTTTTTCGAGACAGGGTTTCTCTGTGTAGCTTTGCGCCTTTCCTGGAACTCGCTTTGGAGACCAGGCTGGCCTCGAACTCACAGAGATCCGCCTGGCTCTGCCTCCCGAGTGCTGGGATTAAAGGCGTGCGCCACCACCGCCCGGCTCAGCCCGCTTTCTTATAACACCCAGGACCGCCAGCCAAGGGGTGGCCCTACCCACAATGGGCTGGTGCCCCCCCCATCAATCACTAATTAAGAAAATGCCCCATAGCCAGATCTTATGGAGGCATTTCCTCAATTAAGTTTCCCTCCTTTCAAATAGCTCTAGCTTGTGTCAGGTTGACATAGACGAGGCAGCGCAGTCTCTAACAATGCAATTGCCGTCTCCTGGGAGCAGCATCTAGCCACTGCTGGGAGGGATGAATCCTGAGTTGGCCAAGAGTGACAACTTTAATATTCTCTGGGTGGGTCTAAGGCCATTTGAGAAATTCAACCAAGTGTGGTAGAACACTCTGGTAATCCTAACATTTGGGAGCCTGAGGCAGGAGGAACACACATTTGAGGTCAACTTGCGTGACATAGTGAGGCCCTGCTTCAACACACACACACACACACACACACACACACACACACACACACACACACACACACACACCACACACACACACACACACATTTAGTTATCATATATGAATTTAGGGGACCTGGTTTTCTAATCCTCTTTTCAGGTGACTGAGGAAGAGTTTTTTTTTTTTTTTATCTGACAATGAAATATGACGGTATGGGTTTCTCTTTGTTTTTGCCCACTGTGGTCTTAGATAGACATTCCTTCTCCTGAAGATAAGAGAGCTGGCAGCTGCAGAGCCCTTGGCTCTTGCTGGCCAAGCACTCTGTTAGCGAGCTCTGTGCTTGACCTTCCTGGCTGTGCACTCTGAAACAGATAGTGCCCATTCTGTCCTTTAAAACGCATAACCAGGAATCGTCTAGTCTGGTGGAGAGTCTCTCCTGGCAGCAGGGCATCTGAAAGGCAGAGCTAGCCAGGTGCATGCTCATGGTATTTGGAGCAATAAATGTATCCATGGGAAGGAAGAACCCCCAGGGACCCACCAGGACAGCTGTGGGTATCCTGGGGAGCGGAGGGGAGATGTCTCACCGGGCATAAAATGCAGTGAGGTCCCTGTGAGGCCTGTTGCCTTCCTCCCAAAGCAGCTGCTCTTGGGCTCAGCAAGCTCTGGCCAGTCCTCATTCATCTATTCTCTACCGTATGTGCATTTGTTTATAGTCATCCTCCTGATGAGAGCTAAGTATGGCACTGCTCCTGCTGCGCAGATGTCAAGAGAATTCAGGGCATCACTGTGCCTCTCACGCATCTCTTTCGTCATGGTGACTATCATCCTTTCGGTGACATCCATTATGTATTGCATTTGTGCATTAGGTTAAGGACTTGGCCTGCATTGTCTTACTTAATCCTTATTACAGGCTGTAAAGTAAATGCTAGCAGTATCTCCATTAGGGTTCAGGCACATCAGATACTTTCCCAAGGTCATAGAATGATAATGGGCCCCTCCCTTCTGGCCATAGAAGCAGCACCATAGCTTGTAAGTTCGTGTGTGTGTGTGTGTGTGTGTGTGTGTGTGTGTGTGTGTGTGTGTGTGTGAGAGAGAGAGAGAGAGAGAGAGAAAGAGAGAGAGAGAGAGAGAGAGAGAGCGCAAATTGCTTGTTTGCATTAGGATATTATGAGGATTCTCTGGATCTGTCTATCACTAAGTGCCCTGGATGGCACAATCTTCCTTCTTGCTGATAAATGAGGGAAGCAAGTCAGCAGTGAGTATTTGGTTTCTGTTATTGAATAGGCCATTCTTGGATAACAATACCTCTGGAAATGCAAGCCTGTGAAATTTAATAAAATACCAGGTCACTGGAGAAGCCCGTCTCAGTCCCTTCCTTCTTGCCCTCCTGTGACAAACTGTAATGGAAGAAAATGGAAAGACAATATCTAGTGTGGTCTCGGTGATCAGTACTTTAGGTAGCCGTTCCGTTATCCTTAGGAAATTACTTAGATCCTGTGTGATCAGAACCTAAAAGATATTTTGTCATACCTGTTCCTGTCTTCTCCTCTCTCTCTCTCTCTCTCTCTCTCTCTCTCTCTCTCTGTACCTCTGGTATCAGTCCTCACTTGTACTGTTTGAGAGCGGTTTTCCTTGCTGTGTCCTGCTGTGCATGCCCGTGCAGCTGAGCTTCTGGGGATACTCCTGTTCCCACTCCCATCTCACTGCTGCACACTGGGATTGCAGAGTCCAGTGCTGCGGGGGGCTTTCCGTGAGTCCTGGGGACTCGAACTCAGGTTCCTGTGCTCGCATAGCAAGCGCTTTACCCACGGAGGCATCTCCACAGCTCCCAGCTCTTTTTGAAAGCTCCAGTTTGGGCACTTAAGTGATTGCTGGTTCTAGGTTCTCACTGAATCTGAGAGCTCCCCAAAGTGAGCGGAGAGGCTGAACGCCAAAATCGGAGGTGGGGGGGACTCTAGTGCAGCCAGAAGAAACTCGGAACAAATGGGGCGACACCTCATTTTGAATCATTTTGATCTTAACAGAAAAGCTGCAAGTGTAGAACAAAGGACTCCCATAAACCCTCCGCCCAGACTGTCCTTTTTACTTTTTTAAAGTTTCTACAGTTATTTCTCCCCAGCTCTTTCTACACACACACTGAAATTTATTTTGCTGAAATTTTGGAGAAAAGGATTCCTGTGTCATTATGTCATTCTTTGAGGCTTTATATACTGGGCACAGTGCAGTTTTGTAGCACAGGGCCTGTCACTGGGAAATGACACTTTGGTCTCCCATTCGTGATGTCAACTTCTAAAAAAATGTCTTTCAATGTTGTTCTCCCATTGGGTACAGGATCTGGCCCCTGAGCATGCACCATGTTTCATTGTCTTGTTTCTTCAGCACGGTTTAGTTGGGGGCAATTTTTTATAGAGTTGACACCTTACTGTCTTTGAAGAGTTTGGGCCAGTTTTTAAAAATAGATGTTTGGTTGTCTGTGGTTCCCTCGTGATTAAATCCAAGATTGCCTGTCCCTGACTGGCCTTCAGCATAGTGTGACTTTTCCAAGTCACTGTAGGTAGAGGTACCCAGCATTTGCTGGACTCTCACTGGTGGTTGATTTTGACCACCTGGCTGAGTTATGGTCTCATTTTTCTGATGTAGTGATAGCATATTTCCCTTATATCCAGCAAACCTTGTTCTTAACCATTTCTAGCCTTTAAGGATATAAATACTGGTGGTTTTGAACCTCTTTAAGTCATAAAATCGTGGAGTGCCTTAGCAGGCACAGGCCCTAGGATTGACAAGTGTATGTAAATATGTTATGTTAATAGATTATATTTTTCCAAGTAGTTTTAAGTCCACAGCAAAATTGAGCCACACAGTCTCCCCGTGTGCCCCTTGCTACCTACAGAGGCCTCTCCCGCTCTCAGCATCCCACACAGGATTGGGGAAGGTTAAACTGAAGAACCTATGTTGCTGCATGTTGTCACTGGACCCTGCAGTCTCTATTAGGGTTTGCTCCCACACATTCAATGTGCTTTTAAAAATCGATGTAGAATGTATATTTACTGAACTCAGAATACTTCGCTAAAGTCTTGTGTGAGAAATACACTTTTCTGCATTTCGTTTTTAATTGTGCCTCTTCCTTGTTCCTTCTTGTAATGATTCTATCTTTATAGTTTACTTCGCTTTAAGGTCGGCTTTTAATAGCATATCGACGGAGAGAGACAAGCTGAAGCAGTTGATGGAGCTGGACGCCTCCTCCCCGCCTTCTGCTCAGGTCGTCGGGCTGAAGCATGCTCTGTCGTCTGTAAGTGATGTGTGTGTCTTTGTTCCATCAAAGTCTGCAAATGTGCCTGGGCTTGTGAATTACTAATAGTTTCCATTTCCATGACTGCATTGAAAATGGATGATTTTCAGGGTTGAGTTGAATCTCGGGGAGAAAAACCAAACAAATTATCCAAATGATACTCAAGCCTTTCTTCAGACTTAGGCATTCAAAAGAATCCCAAACCATAGTAGCCAGGATTTTCTTGAATGTTCAATTCTCTGAGTTTGATTTCTTCCAATTTCTCTGAATTTTTCTGTTTCGATCAAACTTTTACTGTATGTTTGTCTGGGAGTCTTGCAGACATTTGTTGGTTAATGCTTACAGAGTTTGACATTTGGGAGATTTTGTGGCTCTGAGGCATCATAAGTTTAGATCATCTTAACAAATAACACATGGCAGCAAGAAATTTCCAATTTACACATTTTCTGTCTCCGCTGCAAAGTGCTGATCCTACTTAATGCTCTTCCAAATATGTGAGTGATATTTTATTTGAATAAATAGTATGAAACCTTCCTCTCATGGGCACAGAGATGAGTCATGGAGGGATTGTCAGCCAGACCACTGCCATGGCCTCAGGTGAGTTCCAGCTGGCCATTGTCACTCAGGATTATTTTCTCAGCTTCTGTTTGTTGCTCGGAATGGCTGGGCTCCATTGATATGCTGTGTCCTGTTGTTACCCGAGTAGCTGAAGGTGTCTAACACTTTAACCTTGAACGCTGTCAAGAAGCCAGAGAACCTTTGAAGCAGCATACAGATTTGCTCTTTTCTCCTCGCTTGTGCTTTGGAATTCCTGCTTTAAGAAGAGAAAGAATGCATGCACGTGTAGCATTACTGTCTGAAGCACCACTGACTTGTATTTTGGGTCAGGTGGGATGACTATTAGGATCATGTGACCAGAAGCCAACATAAGCACTGAGGGAAAAAAAAAAGTCCATTCATGGTTTCAATTTGTCATGCTACTGAGAAAAATAATGCTACCAATGTACTGTTAATTAATGAGTGTTACAACATAATGTTAATGATGGACAGTACTTGCTGAAGATATTTTGGATACTTTCATTCAGTGGCAATTCCAACTATGCTATCTTTTGTTTGTTTTGTTTTGTTTTTTTAGGACAGGATCTCAGCCCAGTAGGCCTCATGGAGTCATGTGGTCCTGGCTCCATCTCCCACATGTTTAAATTATAGTCATGTGCCCAATTATGCTATTTTTGAAAGAAAAATTTAAAAATAATATTGGATCACTTCATATGTAGAGTCTCCATCTTTAAATTTTATTTGTTTGTTTATTTATTTTAGGTTTTTTTCAAGACAGGGTTTCTCTGTGTAACAGCCCTGGCTATCATGGAACTCGATCAGTAGTTCAGGCTAGCCTTGAACTCATAGAGATCCACCTGCCTCTGCCGTCCGAGTGCTGGGATTAAAGGTGTACACCCACCATGCCTGGCTTTCCGAATCCCTTTCTTAAGGTTGGAGAGAAAGAGACATCTTTTGGACCTTGGTGAACAGCTGGCACAGCTGTTCTTCCACTTTTTCTTTGAGGTTTATTTCTTGCTGGTACACACTCTCATTGTTCCTGTCTGTGTGGCTCTTAATGCTTTTAGAAAGTCCCTCTGATGATGGGGTCTCTGAAGTTCCTTCCCATGGACCTCCTCTCCCTTCCCCTTCTCACAGAGGTCCAGCCTTCTTGCTAATCCACTTGGCTACACTTACTGGACTATGGTTTCCAGGCCAGATTTGCATCACCTTTTCTAAGGCATGCACTCGCACCCACATTAACAGTTTAGAAAGAAGTAAGATAAAACACAGGATACTTTCTTTCCCTTTTGGCTTAGATTTCTGATTTAGCCCAAGACTTGTTTCTTCAAAACTATTTTTTCTTAGAATAATCACAGAACTATTACAATGGATATATGAATATACAGGTCCTGAATTTGATATATATATATATTTAATATAATATATATTACCACAACTTCTAGGCTTTGCTAAGATTCTAGCCACTGTAACAGTGATGTGTTGCCCCGAAGGGGTTGTTATATATGGTTACGTGACCCTAGTTCTTGTTCAGAGTTTCTCAAATGATTCAAGGGTTCTTAGAATGACCTATGTCCTCTATGGCCACTGAAAAGTAAAACTAGAGCCGGCCATGGTGACCTTGCAATCTCAGCTCCTGGGAGGAGAGGCCAGCCTGGGCTACAGAGGGAGAGCATGTTTCATACATTCAACAGTGATGATAAGAAAGGAAATAAAGGAAGTCCTTGTGGGGATCCAGGCAGTAGACAAGGCAGTCGCAAGAGTCTGCCCCTCCTAAAGATAGACCTATAGTCCTAATGCACAGGAGTGCCAAGGGCAAGGGAAGGAAGTACACGTCTTCCTTTTCCCGTGAGCCGCGTCCTGGCGGAGAGGTTGAGATAGGAGGTGGGATAGTCCCAGGAGGAACTAGAGGTCTTGGGTAGTTTGTTTTATGTTCATGGCTCACACCCAGCACCATGGTCTGTAAGCATTTAAGATGTGTAAGTAAGGTTGCTTGTTTATTGTTTAAAAAGTAAACTGTCTTATTCCCCAAAATGAGTAAGTCACCAGCATTCTTCTTCGGTCCAGTGCAGCAGCGTGATAATGAACTCACACTGGGTCATGTCCACGGGCATCTTGTCAAGGACAGGAGGGGCTAGGAATCACTAGGTTTGGTGGGATTGGGGCCCGCTCCACAGATCAGCATGGCAGGAAGAAAAGATACTGTGAATCACCAATTTTCAAAGCTGATGTTGTCTATGGCTTCCTTCTGCAGCCTTATTAACCCTCTTCCCACCTGGGAGATGAGATTAACAAGGAGTGTCCCAGACCCATTTGTTACCTCCCAGCCTCCTGCTGGAGAGCATTGGGGAAAGCCCGGACACACCCCTAGAGGGTCCTGTCCAGGGGGATCTTCGCTTCTAGACTTGCTTGTGCCCAGCGCGCTGCTGCGTTTTCCTGAACTGTCCATTTACTAATAAAGCCCTGCTATTTTTAACATATTCCAGGCCCTAGCACAAAACACAGATCTTAAAGAACGCTTACGCAGAATCCATGCGGAAACTCTGCTCTTCGACTCTCCCGCTGTTCCCAAGTCGGGGGACAACCTGGCAGAGGTGGGTAGGTCTCATCTGATGACTGTTCTCTGCAACTGCCACCCAATCCCCAGAGCCCTCTGTCCAGTGGCATCGCTCTCTGCTCCACCCCCTTGAGTGGCGGCCATGCTCCTGGCCTCCCCTGGCGATGCCACAGCCCAGCTCTGGCTGAGCACGTGGGATTCGAAGCTGTGCTGGCAGAATGCCACTCAGCACACTAGTCGGCTGTCTCTTCAGCGAGTCCTTCTGTGTCTCTATACCTCATTCCCACTAAGTGTGATTCCTTTCACCGTGTGTTACCTGAGTGGGAGCTAGAGAAAGACAAGGGTTTTTCCTTGTCGTTTCTGAAGAAACCTCCATGTCTGTGACCCAGAGTGTCCAGTTCCTTGCAGGCTTCTTGTGCTCTGCAAAAGCCATGCTAGTCTTTACCGTAACTGTCCCTTTTCCCTTCTTCCTGTTTTGTTTTTTCCTCTTTTGTAACACAGCTCTGTACTCCTAGGGGCAGAAGTACTGCACTGCCATCAAAATCTATTGTCAGTAAACACACGTTCGGAAGGCCTTTTACTGAGATGCAATAGAGTGGTCATTTGCCTCTTGGGTCCTAGTTCAACCCACAGACCCCCGACACACACACACACACACACACACACACACACACACACACACACACACACGCACACACAGACACCACACACACACACACACACACACACGCGCGCACACACGCATATGCGCGCGCACACACACACAAACAAAATGAGGTCATTTCTCAAGTCTTGGTTGGGATTTTTGCCCCAAATGGTCCTTTAAACGTGTTTAAAATGAGCAATTTCAGAAAAATACGTTGTGAGCCTTGAAAAATAAGAATGGCTAGAAAAGGTGACAGCTGATTATAAGTGTCTCTGGTATTCAGATGTCTACCTCAGATGTGCAAAATTTTCCATCAACAAACTGGTTAGATTTAAAATGAAAATAGGGAAGCAGGCTGGGGAGGTAATGCAGTCAATAAAATGCCAAGGACCCCCCCCCCAAAACCCACATAAAAAATACAGGTGTGATGGCACATTCTTGGGATCCTAGGATGTAGAGGCAGTTGGATGACGGGCTCTCTGGCCGGCCAGCCCAGCCTACATGGTGAGTTTCAGGCCAGCAAAACGCTGTCACCTCTCTCCAGCAACGGTAGGCACTGGGCCAGTGACATGGCTCAGTGGGCAGAGACTCTTTCCTCAAATCTCAGAAACCTGAGTTGAATCCCTGGGCCCCAGAAGGAGAGAACTAGTTCCTCAAAGTGGTCCTCTGACCTCCTCATATAGTTTACAGAAGAAGAAGAAAAAGGTGGGCGGAGCCTGAGGAATGACACCCACAGTTGTCTTCTCCCCCCACGTCTCTCACACACTGTACACCCCCACACTCACACACATAGGTCACAAAGGGCTTGCGTATACATTTGTAAATTCTTCGTCTTCTTAAGAAGACCCACACCGTCCCGATTCTGTGTGTGAGCTGAGGACGAAGGAGGTGGAGGCCAAGACACCGGGCCACCTGTCCTATATGCAACACACACATGCCGACAGGCCAGAGCCACACCCTCATGGTGGTAGCTGAGGATGAAACTCCTCTGCAGGAGACCTCCAAGAGACCAGCCCTGCACCCTCCCCTGAGGGCCTGGCACTTCAGGCCCAAGCCTGTTCACCAGCCAGGCCCTTTCAAGTGTGCACATGAGCTGACATGGGCCAAGACTTTCCTGTGTCTGGCCGTCACGGAGCATCGTTTGCTGCAGGCATTGTGGCATCTCCAATCACACACTGATTTCCAGGCACTTCTTACCATTTATAATCATATTATCATCATGTAAATCACACTTACATGTTTTATGATTAAATAGATAACCTTCACCAAGCATTTGTGAGCCCATGTCTAGTGTCCAGGGTGCATCACTCAAGCTGTATGTGTTTTGAGATAAAACCCAAAGCCCAGGTCTACAAAAATGCACATTTTGGGACCAGTCTCAAAAAGGAATAACCAGAAAGCTTAAACGTACTGAACTGTTCAGAAGGGTGCTACCACAGCCTTGAACTTGGCCTTCCACAGCATTCTTGGGTTGGTTATGTGCTTGTCTCATTTATTTCCTCTTTCAGACAGCTTCTGTTTCCCATGGTTTAGCCTTTTATTCCCACTGAGTGACTCAAGGCTAACTTTCCCAGCAAAGAAAAGCCATTGTTGCCTTCAGGAAATAAGAGCAGAAATAAATAAGAATGGCCACATAGACTGAAAAACAACAACAACAACAAAAAAACCAGCCCCTAAACCGTGTGTGTGTCTGTCTGTCTGTGTGTGTTAACTAAATGTTTAGTTACTTAAAAATTTTAAAAACATTTATTTAGTGTGTACATGTATATATGTGTGTGCACGTGCACATACATAAATGCACCACAGGGCATGTGTGGGGTCATAGAGCAACTTGCAGGAGTCCGTTCTCTCCTTCTACCATGTGGGGTCTAGGGGTTGAATCTAGGTCACGGTGGCAGGTGCCTTCATAGGCTGAGCTATCTCACGCACCCTGAGTTACCTTTTGTAGGTGACTCCCAGGAGCCTCAGACACCTTACAGCAGAATGACAGTCCCCAACAATAGGTTCAGTCCAAAAGCTTCTGCTTGTCTGGCCTTCCGCTGTTTATTCCCTTTCTGTTGCCACCTTTTGGCTGTACAAAGGAGCTGCTGCTGGTGTTGGGCCCAGATACTGAACCCCAAGATCCCTTCTTCTTAGAAATGACCCCCTCAACTTACTCAAGACACTCCTACTATGGATTCCTAAGTGTGGCATTTTAATATCACCAGGCCAGTATTAATGATTGTATTATTATTATTATAGATTATCTTATTTTAGATTAGAAATCAAAGGTCAAGTGAGATCTGTGGGAGTAATGTCTAATATCTAAGTGGCATTTAAGAATGAGCATGATGGGGACATGTGTAATCACAACACTCAGAAGACCCAGACAAAAGGACAGCTTGAAGCCAGCCCAAGGTTAGATAGTGAGTTCCAGGCCTGTCTAGATCATAGTGAGATCCCAGTCCAAACAAATTAATAAATCCCCCTTCAGGCACCTTTAAAACATCTATGACTTTTAAAAAATCCCTTTATTTTACTTATATATATGGGTTTCCTCACTTTGTTTTTTTATGTTGGGACCAAACACTGGACATTATTGTACAAATTCTTCCTTCACCTTGACTCTGTGGAGTAGGGGATGGTAGTTTCAGTTTAGAAACAGGGAAAGCAAAGCCCAGAGTGGTTTAATAACTTCCACCAGAAACACAGCTTATAAAATCAAATCAGGATTTAAATTCACTACTTATGAGGCCAGAGTGTGTGTTCTCACCTCAGTTTCCCACCTCTGTGTCATGAGGAAAACTGGCTGATCCTGAAGACAGAGTGCTCCTGGGGGGTCCTCTTTTTCGAGTGAGTGGTGGTGGAGTGGGGAATGACTGTCTGGGGCGTGGACGTGGCTTTTTGTTTCTCCTAAAAGAAGGAAATACATGGATAAGAAAGGCATCTAAATCCAGTGGAAAAAGGCAGATTATTCAATAAATTAGGTCAGTACAGCTCAAAGCAATTTGAAAAGAAGCTTAAGTTTTCTTCCGTTGTGTGCTAAAGATCCAAGTTAAATATAAAGTTGAGACAAAAATCAATTTGAATATTTATCAAACTGCTAGAATAAGGATCTCCTAAACTGGGGAGTAATAAAAATTTTCAATAGAAATGTTACCTAAACTTGACTTTTTTTTTTAATAGAGAAAATGTTTCAAAAATAAGAAGGCACATTTAAAAAAAAAAAAGAAAAATATCTTCAGTGAAAATGACAGCCTTATATAATGCTGTGGACAAAGGTCAAATGATACCAAGTAACTTAAGACATCAACAAACAGTAGACACAGATAATTCACACTGACCAGGCATAGCATACATATTTCTGGGGTTTGTTTCTGAGGGATTAAAAAAAAAACAAACTTTCATTTTCCAAGTCTGTCTTGAGGGGTTTAACTACTTAGATATATTCAGAGATATCATCAGGTTATCTTACTGGTGAGTGAGTATTGTAGAGCATATGGACACAGCCTAAATGGTAGAGCTGACTATATACCAAGTCTCTATGCTAGAACCCCCAATAAAAATGCTCACAGCTTTGCATTTTCTTGCTATAAACCAACAGAGAACCTGAGTGTCATCTTTCTCTGCTTTCTGTCCCACTTCAGTGCTTCTGAGCAATAGAGTCTCCTCTCTTGTGATTGGAGTCTGTTCCCCTGGACACCTCCTGGAGGAATGCCTGTGGCTGGCTTGCTGTTGACTAGTTTTCCTTCTGTGAGTAGAGTGCAGTCTAAAATACTGGCTAGAAAGCGTAACAATGACACAGCCCAGTAGTTGTGTATTATTACGGTCAGCATTGTGCACTGGGCATAACCCCATCTATTGTGCTGTTAAACAGCTAGCCTCAGCAGGCTCATTCACTCCAGCATCTCCACAGATAGAGTCATCACCCTTTGCTGTGGTGACATCACCAGGGGACAGGAATTTTCTAGCTCTGTTATAAGCTTTTGTGACACTTAGTTAGACATATCATTGGCACGTGGCTGTACTATTAAGGTCACAGGCAAACAGGTGTTCAGAAGGAAGCCCCTGCACCACACGTATCCTGGCCTGTCCCACAGCAACATTCTACAGCTCTCTTTTTATAAGGAACAATCAGTCTAAGGAAAATGAAAATCAGATCAGCACAACATTTTCTTAAATGTCGAAGTAACTAGTAATCCCATGTTTATAGTCTTAAACATTTTTGGTAATTCTACTTCTGGAAATGATTCTGGAGAAATAATGAGATTTGTGTAAAGACATACAATGATGCTCCCTGGATTGCAGTCTGCAGCTACCCTTCCTTCCAGTACAGAACTGAACTGCCCCTCTGTAGCACACCAGTGTAATAAAATACCTGTCGGCTGGAGTTCCTTCTCTCAGAGACTTTTTCCTGGCCTGGGAACCTATTCACAGTGTCAAGTAATGTAATGGACAAGGCACACACATGGACAGTTTGATCCCTGCTTAAAAACAAGAACTACACAACTTTTTTTCTAGATGTGTGTGTGCGTGCGCGTGCGTACGTGCATGCGTACATGCGCGTGTGTGTGTGTGTGTGTGTGTGTGTGTGTGTGTGTGTTTTAAACAGGGTTTTACTATGTATCTCTGGTTGCCTGAAACGTACTGTGTAAACCAGACAAACCTGGAACTCAAGGCAGTCTTCCTGACTGCCTTCTGAGTTCTGTGGTTATAATAATGAGCCACCATGCCCAGCTACACCAGTATTTTAATAGAAATATATATATATATATATATATATAGATATATAGATATATATCTATATATATATCGATATGAGTGATGGATCTTTTGAGGGGTACCTACTCTATTTGCATTTTTGTGTTTTTTATTTTTCAAACACATACTGCTTTTATCCTAAGAACACATTACTGTTAGAAAAAGTTATTTTAATGCATTGTTGGCTGAGAAAATTTAATTATGTTTGTAAATTGTATGATTATAGTTATTACAAAACAAAAGTATGTGAATAAAAAGATTGGCGAGAAAATGTCCACAGGCTTGTAGCAATTGTTTTAGTGTGATGGGATTTGGGGTGTTATCTATCCCTCCTTTTTTTATGTTTAATTTGTTGTAATATGCACAACAGGTAGACAGCCACTCCTGAGCTACAGTGAGGGAAGTTACTGTGCTGAACTGTGTTCCTATTTTAAATAAGACCCTGTGTTCTTTGAAAAGCTGTGCTGGAGGGCGGGTGCTACAGTGTCCTGGTGTTTTCAGTATGAGGTCATAAGCAGTTGCTGAAGTTATGGGACACCAAGAACAGGTAGGGGCTAGGATCCCAAATCTGAAATGTTTCAAAACCCAAACGTTTTGAACAACATAATACCACACATGAAAAATTCCATACCTGACCTCATGTGACAGGTGTCAACCTAAAATCAGTTCCCTAAAAATACCCTACATTACCCTCAGACTTCATGTATAAGTAAATAGGAAATGTAAGGAACTTTATGTTGACACTTTGGCCCACTCCTAAGATACCTTATTATATTTTTAGAAATCCCTTTTAAAAGTGAAATCCAAAACACAGCTGCACCTAAACATTTTAGCTAATGATTTTCAACATGTATTGTTTTCAGTGTTGATAAGTCAGGAAATCCTTTTGACTGGGTCTGGGAGGAGGAAGCTAGAGCAGGTAGGTGTGGTGATGAATTAATGAGAAGCACAAGTAAATAAATCATTAGCCTCTCTGAGTTGGGGCCCACAGGAGACAGGGGAAGATTCTGTCGCCTGCATGCACCTTTAAGGAGTCCTGCTGGGCACTGCGGTGTCTTCAGCTCTGCAGCCTTGTGCCTGGGTCTTCGGAGGAGAGAGGCATTTATTTCCTTTAAGAAAGCAACCGCCTACTACTAATGGGTGAAGGCTCACCGACATGGCTGCCTAAATAAGACCTGAACAAATAGGACACCTAAAGATGTGATAACATGACAGAGGGAAATCTCATGGGAACCTCAACCCTAGACAAAGAACTTAGGCTACTAAGAGGTGCTGAGAGCAGAAGTCTTTCCCAGGGAAGACCACCACCCCCCATTGGTTATCCAACCTCACATGGTCGGCCCTGAAAATGTACATACAAGTAACGTTATGAAGTACTTCTATATGTAGAAGTGTGTGTGTGTGTGTGTGTGTGTGTGTGTGTGTGTGTGTGTGTGTGTGTGTGTGTGAGAGAGAGAGAGAGAGAGAGAGAGAGAGAGAGAGAGAGAGAGAGAGAAGAAGAAGAAGAAGAAGAAGAAGAAGAAGAAGAAGAAGAAGAAGAAGAAGAAGAAGAAGAAGAAGCCATGAATTTGAAAGAGCAGGGGTTAGAGGGAGAAAGTAGGGGAAATGGTGTAATTATATGTTAAATTTCAAAATAATTATTTTAGAAAGAAAGCAGCTGCCATACATGGAGATCCTTGTAGGGGATAGAGAAAGCTGACTTTTGGAGGCTGTATAAAGTATTTAAGCCCGTACCTTGGGCTGATGTGGAAAGACTCCAAGAGGAGAGATGTAGAATTCCCTCTGTTCCTAAAATTCAAAGGACTCATTGCTGTCTGTTAATTAGGAAACTGCTGAGGCCTCCTGTCCCAGTGGACCTCCTTGGGCACAGTATCTGTTGATGAGATGAGCAGGGACATCCTGAACTCATGAGACCTTTGGGTGTGACAGCATCTGCCTGAACTTCTCCTTTCCATCTGGTTCTGTGACTCACTTTTCAGATGCATGATAATACTGAAGCCACCCCAGCAGGCCAGTGAAGTTCCTGAGCTGACCAGGGACTCAGGAGTCCAAGGAATTACCTTGTCCTAAATCTGTTCTAATCAGGCTCTGGGTTGCAAGAGTCAGTGTTAAGGTCAACTTTGTCTCCCACTTCCTGTAGCCCAGGGTCTGTTGGTGGCTCTGGTCTAATGTGGACATGCCCACAGGTCAGAAGCCTTGTATCGTTCCATGTTCATCTGTGATTGGATGAGGACTACATGCAAATATTTGCTTGATTCATTGAGTAGGGTTGAAATTTTACTTGCAGATAGAATAGAAAGCGCATCCCCTGGGTATCCAGGATCCTTCTCAATGAATCTGGACTCAGTGGAGTGGAGAATGGAGGAACACAAGAAAAAAGCAGTGTTACTCTGCTAAGTTGTAGCATCATCCTTGGTGGCTGAAGTTTCCTTCCTTTTAAGAGTCATTGTGGGCGAAGAGAGACAAGGAAATTAATCCCACTCACCCATGAATAAGGAATGATCTACCATCATGGGCACCTCTGGACCAAAAGACAGAGTTTATTTGTTAAGGGAGTCCCTGGAAGCAGGATATTGGCCTCTGAATATGCACTGGGACACCCTGCTTGGAATCAGCCATGCATTGAGGGGAGTTTAGCCTGGGAAGAAGCATCCTGAGTGGTAGAGAGTAAGAGGATGTCACTCAGTGTTGGACCCTTCCTACTCCTCAAAGGACAAAGCTGGCTTGTGCTTGAGATCTGTGGCACGCACGTGTCTGAACAATGTTCATGCCCGTAAGTGAAGCATCCTTTGGGGAGAGAACTTTATTTCTCGTTTTGTTTCTCGTGAGGCTCACTTCTCCTTTGAAGCTGACCTCTGCTCTGTGTTGCCTGTTTGCATGGGCCTGTGACCCAGTGTTTGTGCGAGTCAACCATTTGTGGATTGTGTTTCTCTTGAGGCTGTTCTAAATATGCAATCCTCTTTCTGCTCTTCCACCAGGAAATCTCAGGGGACGAAAGCCGAGCCCTGGTGCACCAGCTCTCCAACGAGAGCAGACTGTCCATCACCGACTCCCTCTCTGAGTTTTTTGATGCCCAGGAAGTTCTGCTGTCTCCTAGCTCGTCAGAAAACGAGGTTTGAACACTGTTTTCAGTCAGCTGCCCCACCCCCCCAATCTCCTTTATGACTTTGTTCACCAAACTGTTCAGTAAGATCTGTGAACAGAAATCTTAGACTCCATGGCTCCTCCACACCATTACATTCTGAGGGTCTGCTTGCAATGCACACCCCCCGCCACAGCACAAAATGATACTGTCCGCTAAGAAAATGTGAAATTCAGGGTGTTGGACTCCCTCATGTTTCTGTACTTAGACTTCTCATTGCTAGTTATGAATTCTGCCTGTTCATGTGCCTGCTTTATATCTTGTCATCATGTTAATTTGTTAGACATTTTCTATCATTACTGTCTGATATGTTTATTATATTAATTTATATTTATAAACATGGCTTTAAATTGATGCATAAAAAATATATTTTCTGGAATAGGCTAGCATTTGGAGCTAGCACATAGTTAGCATTACTATGTGTGATTTTTATCCATTAAATATAGAGAAATACAATAAAAGTATATATTTATATATTATATAGTATATAAAATACAATTTTGTTTATGTACTAACTCCCATGCAAGAGTCGTTTTTCACAGAGTTCAAAAATAAGTATTAGCATGTTCTGGAAATACTGCAAAATAAGAATTTTTATGATGACAGCAGTAACACTGGAGATTTTTTGTTTGTTTATTTTTCTTTGAGAACCAAGAATATCTAAGAATGTTCTCCCTCCCTCCTTCCGTCCCTCCCTCCTCCTGTCCCTCCCTCCTCCCGTCCCTCCCTCCTTCCTTCCGTCCCTCCCTCCTTCCTTCCGTCCCTCCCTCCTTCCTTCCGTCCCTTTCTCCCTTTGCTGGGGCCCAAACTTGGGTCCCTCGCACCCTAGGCAGCAGTCCACCTGCACCCCCAGCCCTAGCAGTTAGTTTCTTTGTTGCTGTGAGCATCACCTAGATAGATTGGGGGGTGTTCTATGAAAATAGTACCCCAAATTATTTCTGTGGATTTGTAGTGTGAGACGTGGCATGCTTGGTCATTTGGAGTAGGATTTTCTGAAAGGCTGGCTCTTTCTTCTTGCTCGCTCTCTCTCATGGGTATTATCTCTCCTTTCCCACAGATTTCTGATGACGACTCATATGTCAGTGACATAAGTGACAATCTGTCCTTAGACAACCTCAGTAATGACTTAGACAACGAAAGACAGACCTTAGGTAAGTGTTTACATTACAGGATCTCTGGAAGCCTGCAACTGAGTGTGCGCACGTGCGTAGGTCAGAGGTCAACCCTGGGTGTCATTCTTCTGGTGTTATCCATCTTATCTTTTTGATACAGGGTCTCTAACTGGTGATGGAGACTTCCCAGTTAGGCTAGGCTTGCTGCCTGAGAGCCCAGGGATTCTCCTGTCTCTGCCTTCCAAATGCTGAGACTACAAATGTGCACCACTGGACCTGATTTTTTTTAATTAAACAAGGGTGTCCCTTGTGAGTCAAGCATTTACTCTGTAAGTGCAATATAGGACATGGTATTCTGTATTCAGATACTGAAATGTTGTTATAATTCAAGAATTTGATAGGGCATATGTAACTAAAAGGTCCAAGTGATAGTCAGCTTCAGATTATTCAAGAGAATACACTCTTACCTCCTCTCAGGGTCTCCTAAGCTGCCCCTTTTATTACTGCTTAGTCCTAAGAAGGAAAATGATGACCAAGAAAGGTATTTCTGGGTCTGGCAAGATGGTTCAGTGGGTAAAGGTACTTGCTACCAAACTTAACGATCTGAATTCAGTCCCTGGAACCCACAAAATAGGAGAGGACTGATACCCACAAGTTGTCCTCTGGCCACACACACACACACACACACACACACACACACACACACGCACGCACACACGCACGCACACCTCACACTGTGGCACATGAATGCCAAATATAAATAGATAAATGCGGTTTTTAAAGAAAGGTATTTCATTATGTGAGTCTGAGCTGTGGGGTCCCTGGAGTGCCTGACTGACTAATCCCAAGCAGCTAGTGACTTCAGGAAGCAGAGTAGTCAAGTTAGGAAGATGCCCATGGAGTGAGTTCCCCAGTCCACGATCCTCCGCACAGAGCCCTGAACGTCAGTCACTCCCCATCCTGGCGTCTGGTTTTCCCCAGTGAATACTCAAAGCATCATCCACCACCATTGTCATATCTAAACAGAGGACCGAACTGTGCCAGATCCCTTTATTTCAGTGTCTCAGCTCAGCGAATGTTTGTGAACTATGTGGATAGATTGTCCAAACACTCCAGAGCCACTGCTTTGAGGACTCCAGGGGCAGGTGGGTAACTTCCCACCATCATCCACAAAGTCCCCTTTCAGCATCGCCTGCTGGAAGGAAGATAGTTTGCTCTATAAAGAGTCATCTCTTGATAGAAAAACCTAAAACCCGGTGAGTTAGAAGCAGAAGGTCACAGACAAGAATGCAGATTGTTTTCTGTGAACACAAAGAATGAACAGGCTCATGAAGAAACATCACTCGCTCCCTCAGTGAGCAGTGAGTGGTAGGAGCACCAAAATGGTGCTCCAGCTACAGAGGGGGAGATGGTAAAGGCTGAGGCCCCTCCCCCATCTCCCAGAGGCCTGAGGGAGGGAGTCAGGAGAGCATGGAGTAAACAGGATGCTGAAGTAAGGAAGAAAGGATTGGTCCAGGACATAGTCAACGGCCATGCTGCATTAACAGCAGCTGAGATGAGCATGGAGGTGGCCAGGCCGCTTCTCTAGCTTAGTCCGTGGCTGTTTAGCTTGAACATAGCACATACTGGGTGGAACTTTCTTCATCTAAGCTTGAATACCAGAATCAGATGTCCCCAGTTCTCTGTAGACTTTCTCAGATGGTGACAGGGTTTCTAGACATCTTGAAAAGGCGCCTTCAGAGATAACCTTCATGTCCTACAACTCAGTTTGCCTACTGAGGAAAGAAGAATTAAACCCACTCTGACTGTGGGTGTAGCTCAGTTGGAAGAGTGTTTACTTAGCATGCGTGAAGTCCCGGATTCCATACCCAGTGCCACATAAAATGAGACATGGTGGTGTTCACCTGTAATCCCAGGGTTAGGGAGGTAGAGGCAGGAGGATCAGAAATTCAAGGGCATCCTTGGCTACATCAAGAGTTCAAGTCCAGCCTGTTGGATATATGAGACTCTGTGTCAGGAAAGAAAATGTAAATGAAAACAGCTAAAGCAGAGCTCTCCAGCTATTAAACTAGGATTCCAGAGTGTGCAGCAGACACTTGGTGTTTGGGGTACTTCCTAGCAGTTTCTCGCCCAAAAGAAATCACAGGTCACGTGGCAGGACCTGTTGCTGTGCTGAATGCCGCAGAAGTTAAGTAGCTGAGAATATGGACTGAAGGGAATCCTTGAGCACCAGCTCCAACCTATCCCTTGTTGGTTATGTGTGCTGGTCCCTCCTCTCGGCCTCACTTTCTTCATCTATAAAATGGAGATGATAATACCGTTTACTTCAAGAAGTACCCTCAAGAGGAAGAAGACGAATACACGTCAGAGGCTGAGGTGACCGGCACCGTGAAAAGAGGGTGCGTGTGGCATCAGTAGTGTGGCTGTGGTGCTGGAGTAGCAGTCTTTGAATTGTAGACTAGTAGACCAAAGAAAATATGCCACTACCCGCAGAGCTGTTGCTGAAGAGGCCTCCATTTTCACCTGTGCGCCTGTGTCAGATTTTGCCCATATAACCAGTTAAAGTAAATTTGGAACTTAACCGGATGCTTAAGTTAGCATGCAACTGCACAGCATGACCCCAATTTCAGACTTTTCTGTTCATCAAAGCTGCCTCTTTATTCAGAGCTACTGGTTATGTAATGAGTGAATGCTAAGTGTTTATGTTTAATAAGCACACAGAAAGTGGCGTGTTATCTGTTCATCAGTACAGTGAAAAGATGCCATTTGAAAAGAGACACAGGGCAGGAGAGAGACATCAGAGCCTGAGACAAAAGTGGTGGGCAGTTTTACGTATGTGACTGTAAACGTTTCGCTCATCAAATCCTCCGTGGGCCAAGCTTAAACGTAAATGCCAACTTGGGATGAAATTGTAAAACCAGATACAAAATTGTAAAATGGACAGAAAAGCGAAAGGAGGGGAGTTGATGTGTACAGGGTGAAGAAGAAATGATCACAAAAGCATTCCAGAACACACCAGAAAGTTCTGCAGTGTCTTCTGCTCACCTCGTGGCAGCCTGGAAGCAGAGGCAGGAGAAAGGAACAGCCCCAAGGGACCACTCTCTCCACCCCCTCCTGTCCTGTAGTCCACTCACTGTAAGGCAAAAGTCAGTGACCAGCCCATTGATCAGGACAGAGAGCTCCTGATCCAGCCAGGTCTCAGGAATTGGATCGGTCAGCTGGGGAATCCGGTCTTCAACACATGGGCTTTGTGTGTGGTGGGCGTGGGGCATCCCACATCTACTCAGTTGTCTTTTAAATAACATTCGGATCATATGAACCAAAAGCACTAACAGCCTTTCATGGCAGTCCTCAACCATATGTGCTGATAAAATGATCAGAGGACCAAGCCAATATCTTGATGTGTGGATAGTCCATATTGTTGGTCGCTGATAGTCCATAATGTTTTCTTTGCATTTTTTGAATTGTAGCTAAACATCTAGAAACACTTAATGGCACAACAGTAATGAGCGAGCCAATACATTATGATGTGTCTATACCATGGAGTATTATTTACAGTCATTAAAAATGATATAATTGGAGAATTTAAATAACAAAACTATGCTTTAGACAGCTGAATAAGCAGAACATAAAAATGCCCCTACGGTATGAATAATACAGATAGTCCCAAATGTAAAGGGGCACTGTCTGAGTTGGTAGAATAATTGATGGAAACTATTTCTTTCTTATTTTTCTAGAATAAATACAATTTAGCCAGTAGGTAGTAAACAGCTAACATCCCAGTACTGGAGATGTGAAGGCAGATGATTGTGCATTTGAGGCTAGCCTGGGCTAAGACCCACAGAGTAAGACCACATCTCAAACAACACAGAGTTCATTTTCAGAATTTGATGTGGTTAAGCTTTCAAATTTATACCAGTCTAACCTGTTATTGGCATGGAAACCCGATTTCCGTTCTTATTCTGAGTATGAAGCTGTGAGGAGCTAGCTTTTGAGCGGGAACTTAATAAGTCTCTCCAGGGATGAAGTGCATGGCTTTTAGTGTATACAGTTTGGGGCATTTATTTATTTAACGGTACCAGGATTGGTGCATAAGCATGTGCTCCCCTAGTGAGCTATACCCCAGCCCTGAGTTTTGGTATTTAATTGCTCAGAATTCTTTTGCTAGTTTCTAGCTTTCCATCCTACACTGCATAACTGGGTTTGATAGTGAGTACTTGCTAGGGTTATTTTCATGGACTAGCTTCCTGGAGCCAACCAGAATTCTTTCCTTGCAGGGCCTGTTCTCGAAAGTGGTGGGGAAGCCAGGTCCAAAAGGCGGACCTGCTTGCCGGCGCAGGGCCCCAACACCAGTAGTGTCAGCTTATGGAGCATCCTGCGCAACAACATCGGGAAGGACCTGTCCAAGGTGGCCATGCCGGTGGAGCTGAATGAGCCGCTGAACACCCTGCAGCGGCTCTGTGAGGAGCTGGAATACAGCGAGCTCCTGGACAAGGCTGCGCGCATCCCCAGTGCCCTGGAAAGGATGGTGAGGACCCCACTCCTGCACTGTTCTTCTGAGCCATTCGGAGCCCAGAGGCCTAAAGCCCAGTCCTCATTCTGATTGCTCCTTAGAGATGGTCATTTCTCGGAAGATTCTCAGTCCTCCCCTTCCTGGCTGTGTGCAGTTACCTCATCAGAATCTGCAGTGGGAAAGGAAGGGGCCTTCTGCAGCTGGTGCCTGCCTGGGGGCGGGTGGTTCTGTGCTTGCTCTTTCTCTGGAAGCTTCCATCGGATGGTTCTCATAGGCTTGGCTGGAAAACATGCTTTAGGCCGGCTGGCTGTGTTTATTTTTACTACCCTGGGTGGACAGAATTTAATTTCTTGAGCTGTTTCTCTCATCCAGAGTAAATTTCCCTTGAGAATGTTTTTGTTTATTTCTGGAATTGTCCCATTCATTCCTACGCTTTTGGAAAGTATCATTCACAGAGGGTGTTTTACATCATGACACCAGAAAGCAACCCCCACCATCACCACCTTTTCCTCTCTCTATAGAGCTATTTAAATAAGCAATTTTGTTTGTAAAACTCTTGAAAAGATTTGTTGTGGAAACTGTTCTCCTGGCTTCCTCTTTTGGGAGCTGGTGATCAGTCGCCCCCTTGCCTGGGTGGGGACTGGGACTTGAGTGCAGAGCTTTCTTTCATTTGCTGCCTGGCTAAGTTGGAGAGGAGTGTGCCCTTGGGCTTCACAGAACTAGTCAACACCCCTCCCCAGCCTCCACCCCCGTGACAGGAGGCAGACCCCTTCAAACTCCACACAGCCTGCAGTTCTCAGGCTCAAGGAAGCTTCTTGGCTGCCTTGATTTGGAAACAAATGAGAACCTCAGCTCCTGGCTGAAAGAGACATCCCATTGCCATTCTGCCTGATCTCAGGACCTTCTTATCAGAGAGATTTTTCTCTCTTGATGTTAATGATCATAAATGCCAAAAACCACAAGTTGTGATTTTGCCCTTTTTGTTGAATTTCCTTAGACAGTGTCTGCTGGAGATAGGGAGGCAGGAAGCTTTAAATCTAGTGTTAAAAGTTGGCATTTATGGTGCCTTGCCTCAAAGAAAACCATTCACTTTGAACATGAAAATATTCTTTTGTTTGTTTGTTTTTTGTTTTTTGAGACAAGGTTTCTCTGTGTAGCTTTGGAGCCTGTCCTGGAACTCGCTCTGTAGACCAGAGCTGGCCTTGAACTCACAGAGACCCACCTGCCTCTACCTCCTAAATGCTGGGATTAAAGGTATGCGCCACCACCAGGCAGATTCCCAACATCCATATGACTTGCAATCTTCCCTAACTCCAATTCCAAGGGATCCACCATCATTTTCTGGCTGGCCTCCCAGGCACTGAATGCATATGGTGCACAGCCATACATGCACACAGAACACACACACATAAAATAATAAAATTTAAAACAGAAAGGAAGAAAATATTCTAAAGTGTGTTTAACTCCTGTGGCAATTTAGAACCCTTAAGATCCTCAGCAGTTGGTCCCGGTAAAAGGGAAAGCACAGTGGTGCACAACTGTGGTCCCAACCCTGAGGAAGCTGAGGCAGGAGGATTGGTGCACATTTGGGACCAATTGGTCCCTAGTCTTGACCTTGGACAAAAGGTGAAGCTGAGCATAGTGGTACACCCTGTAATCCCAACACTGGGTGATCTGAGGCAGCAGGATTGGTGCAACTTCGAGGCCAGCCTGACTTATAACATGAGATCTTGTCTCCAAAACCAAAGGAGAATAAGAAAGTTTTAGGCAAGCCCCAGTGGCCACAGCACAACCACAGAGCCACAGCTGCAGCCCGAGGGTGTCTGTTCCTGCTCTGCAGTCATCACATTCTCCTTTGTAGGTTCTTGGTGTTGCCAAAGAGAAGATTTTGTTCTGCCTGCCCCGCCTTACTGCCCAGCGTCATGGGTAGTACTGGGTTCTTTAGTCTGCTGGTTTCGGTTTTCTCCCAAAAGATGTATTAATGTATTTGTAGGAGTGTGTGCTTGAGTGAGTTTCTATGCACCACTTGTGTGTAAGAGCCCTCAAAAGCCAAGAGAGGATGTCAGATCCCTTGGCACTGGAATTTAGGCAGTTGTGAACCACCATGTGCCTGCTGGGAACCAAGCTCTGGTTCTCTCCCCGAGCAGTAAGTGCTCTGAAATGGTGAGCCACCTCTCCAGCCCTGTATTTTAAAGGAGACTCAAGGTGTTTGGAATTCCATAGAGACAGTGTGAGCTTCCTGTTTGGTGTGTCAGAAACAGAGGAGGCAGAGAGAGAAGCATGTGTCTGAGTTTCAGGAATGCAGCATGGACTGGGGATGGCTTAGTCAGTAACATGTTTGCTGTGCAAGGACGAGGACCCGATCCCCAGCACCCCATGTCAAAGCCAACAGAGTAGGAAACCCTTAGCACCGGAGGGTGGCAGGACAGGTGGATTCCTGGAGCTTGCCAGCCAGATGATATCATTGCCAAATTAGTGAGCTCCATGTTCGTCGAGAGACCCTGCCTCCAAAAGAATATGGTGGGGAGCAATGTTGACCTCTCACTTCTACATGCATGCTTACACACATGTACATGACACAAGTGCACATGACACACATGCACACACACACAGAGTTATAGATGACACTGAGTTAAGTGTAGCAAACCTCGTACGATGTTCAGAGAAGGCTGTTGAGACAGTTTCTATTTGGTATCAAGAAGAAATCTCCGTGTCATTACTTTCATGTAACTTTGAGGGGGAAAGCAAAATACAGACGAGAGAATCTGTTTCCCTCGATGCTCTGAAAGAGGCGCTGAAGACCATGGTGGAATCCACGTGGTGACGCTCAGAAAAGGATTTTGCTAATCCCGTGTGGACATATAGTTTATTCTTCCCTCCTCCTCCTTCCTCTTCCCTCCTCCTCCCCATCCTCCTCTTCCTCTTTCCTCCCTTCTCCCTCCTCCTCTTCCCCCTCCTCCCTTGTCCTCTCACACCCTCCTTCTCTCCCCCCACCCCCTACCTCTCAATTTTCCTCCCAGAAAGACAGAACTTCCAAGGGCCTCTGGCCTGTTGCTTCTCAGAGTGTAACAATGACTCTCACACTTTCTTTGGTCAATGAGTTTAAGTTGGCAGGTTTCTACGATACCAATCGGTGACTAGTTAAACGTATTGTGCGTGTTTCTGAACTGGGGGGACAGTTTTACTTCTCTGTACTCTTTCACTGTCTGCCCCGAGGCCCCGATGTTGGGATTGCCGGCCCTGGCTGGCTGCGTGTAGAGGACTCAGCATCGGCATGCTGTCGGATGAGTTTTATCACCTCAGTCAAATCACCCCTTCCAGATTTCTGACACCCAAATAAGCGGGCAGTTTCAACAGGTTGGTTTGTTGTCTTCAGGCCCAAATGAACATTATTTAAACCTCCAATTGTAAACTTAAGTTGGTTGGGTTGCCTTTAAGAGCCTTGTCTTTCTGAAGTCAACATGGGTTTTATTTCTTCGTGACAAATTTCTTGGTGACACGGAAGTGAGCCTGTCCTTTCCTTCCGCTCACAGGTATACGTGGCCGCCTTCGCCATCTCTGCATATGCATCCAGCTACTTCCGAGCAGGCAGCAAACCGTTTAACCCAGTCCTTGGAGAAACGTATGAATGCATCCGGCAGGACAAGGGCTTCCAGTTTTTTGCCGAGCAGGTGATATGCGCCCTTTGTGTTTGTTGAGAGAATTGCTTGTGTCTGCTCTTAAATGTGCTTTTGAAATATTTATTTTCCTCCTTTCTCTGGCTTCAAAAGGACTGAGGTAATTACAGGCTTGACAACATAAAGCCAGGATATGTTTTCTCTCCGTGGAAGCTCAGCTCCTACCCACAGCACACGGGCTTTGGTAATTCTGCGCACCTGCCTGGTTACAATGCAGCAGCATTAGCTCTCCTGCAGATCATTAGCAAAAGGAAGTGCCAAGGCCCAAGCCTCTGCCCAGAGTGTGACTTAGAGAAGAAGTGTGCCCAAACAGTTGTTACCGCCATTCTGGGGCCTGACTGCCCCTCAGAGTGGGTGTTGTGCAGTGGTCTAGATTTTTACTGAACAGGAATCACTGTATGTGTATTTATTATTCAAAGCAACAACTTGTATCTCTCTTTTTTTAATGTTTACTATGTGCCTGGTACTATTGCAGTTGGCTCCGACCCTGCAGTGGAGTGGGGAGGCTGTGGGGATAGACAAGAGTCCCTATCTAATGGGTGATCATGTCCTTATGTGGCCTGAGGTCCACTGGATCCTTCCACACAAGTTAGCGTGGAAGGTTCAGGAGCCAAGCAGCTCCCATTTGAAGCACAGTTCTGTTTCCTACAGGCTGTAGAGCTCGGGACAAGTGGAGGCGACGCCATCATTTGTGTCTTCTGTGGTCCTCGAGCAAGGTCTGATCTATGAAGTGTGGCTGTGCAGCGTGCATTGGAGGATGAGTGTCCCGTGTGTTTGCTGATGTGGAACACCCCTCAGCTAAAACAGAATACGTAACCTTTAGAAAGATGGAAAACACCTTTCAGGAGACTAGTCGTCATTGCTCCCATGATTTCTCTCCCAACTCCTAGAAAACTGAGGGTAAAGAAGGAGTGTGGGTTGCTAAATATTCTTTCCCTTCTGGTTATTTTTGTCAATGGAATTGCATTATGGGGACTGGGAGAGAAGGTGTAGCGAGCTTGCCTTTTCTTTTCTTTTCTTTTCTTTCCTGCCTCCTCCCCGCCATCCCTTCTGTCTTTCTTTTTCTTTGAGATTAGTGTCTCACTCCATATCCAGTCTGGCCTCAGACACGCACTCCTCTTTGCTGCACCTCCCAGTAAAGGGCTTGCAGGTTCACAACCACCTCACCCAGCTCCCCGGAAACTGATGAATGTGGTGCTTGTCTTAATGCAGTATTGGCTGGGTGTGGTCGTGCCTGCCTGCCATCCTACTGTTCAAAGGCCTCAGGCAGGAGGGTTGAGAATTTAAGGCCCATCTTAGATTCACAGAGAGTTCTAGACCAGCTTAGGCTGTGTGGTGAGACCCTATCTCAAAAGAGACAATGCAAAAACCCAAACCCAGAACCATTGTGTTCCCTGGAACTCAGAGGAAAGTGACTATATAAAAGCCCCGATTGTATCGCCAGGTGAAAACGGAGCAGTAAATATTCCTTAATAAGGGGAGGTGGGAGCTAAATCAGTAGTCACGGGATCCAGTCATCTGTCTGGTTCAGATTCAGCTGGGCTATTTAAATACTGAATTTAAAATGGAATGAGAGGGAATGAAAACATGGTTTGGTTACCATGGTGTTGTATGCACTCTTGTGAAAAAAAAAAAAAATGAAGGCCTGAAATACCCCCAAACTCCAGCTGACAATCAGAGCAGAAGGAAGGCCTCTAAGGGGAGACTGACGTGAGCTGTGGAGAGGTGAGTGGCAGTTCCCTGGAGCCCCGAAGGGGTGGCACTAGTCACAGGCTCTGCCAGCACATCGACTGTGGGACTTGGAGAGGAGGACCAGGGCCCATGCGCAGGTGCTCAAGTACCCAGAGAGATCACCAGAGAGTTCCAGAAAACTTAGTCTTTGGTTACATGAATTGGATTCCAAGGCAAAAAGCAAAAAAGGCTTCTGGCCTTTTTCTGCGGCACAGGCGGTATCCTCTGTTCAGAGTGCAGCCTTGCAGGAGTGACTTATGTCCTTGGAGCCTTTGCCTTTACCCAGTGGGGATGGCAGTACGTGGCTCATGGGCTGTAGGAAGGCTTAAGTGAAAGGATGCTGTGGCAATTACACACTTACACGGAAGAATACGTGGTTAATGGTTATGGCTCTTATATCTAGAGGGGACTTTAAACACCTTTAAATAGTGTTAAGAATAGGTTAAGAGGAGTGATAAAAGCACAGAATTACAGTAAGATGCATTGTATCTCCACGCTAGCACAAGAGGCCGAGTGCCTTCAGTGGGACCGAGTGAGCCCTCAGGCAGCCGTATGCGGCTTTGCTGTCATCATGACCACGGACGGTCCTGATAGTAATGGAGCCATATCATCTGTCTGGGTTTTAGCCCTATGGCTCAAATAGCTGCTGCTTTTAGTGCACCGAAGAAAAGCTGAGCTTCTCCAGATGCTACCACTCTGTGCGTTTACTGGCACTGAGGGGGAGTTACCCATTAGCAGGTTACTTGGGAAGCAGGGTTATAATCACAGGAGAATGTGAAGATGTGTCTGCCATCTGCCCTAGAAATGGTCAGGGTTGGGGTCAGAGTCTCCTTTTCCTGGGATGCTGGGCACACCTTAGCTCTACACACACACACACACACACACACACACACACACAGACCTTCCTGGGATGCTGGGCACACTTTAGCTCTACACACACACACACACACACACACACACACACACACACACACACAGACCTTCCTGGGATGCTGGGCACACTTTAGCTCTACACACACACACACACACACACACACACACACACACAGACCTTCCTGGGATGCTGGGCACACCTTAGCTCTACACACACACACACACACACACACACACACACACACACACACACACAGACCTTCCTGGGATGCTGGGCACACTTTAGCTCTACACACACACACACACACACACACACACACACACACACACACACACACTCACACTCCTTCCTCCCATCCTCATTCACCCTCACCAGATGGCGCACTTATGGGAAGCCCTCTGCCATAGCGTATCTAAGGAGCATCACCCATTTCGTTTCATGTTCATGCCTGCTCGTGTGACTTTTCTGCTTCTGGCCCGGGACACAGTCTACCCCATGGAGGCAGCATGAGGCTGCACTTGTCCGGTGTGTGCAGGTGACAAGCTTTTAAATTTGGAGGGATTCTGTGCTTTCCTGAACCTCTCTAAAAGTATAGGTATCTAAAGGACCATAGTAATGAACTGAGTGGGGGCCCCAATTTAAGGTGCGCGCACGTGTGTGTGTGTGTGTGTGTGTGTGTGTGTGTGTGTGTGTGTGTGTCTTTGCATGTGTGTGCACATGTGTGCATGTGTATGTGCATGTGAATGGAATTTTATCCTAAAAATGGCATGGATGGAAGTCACATCTCCCAGCTAAAGGCCCAAGACAGTTTGCCTCTCCTAACTTTTCTAGCTAGCCGTCTTTCATTGGAACAGTGGTGGGTCTGTTCCCTCCTCCACTCCTGTGACTCAGTTAGTGCAGTGCTGGGTGTGTGGCTCTTCGTGTCGGAAGTCCCAGGGGGTGAAGCGATGTCTGCTCCAGAGTTCAGCTAGGTCAAAGCCTATTTCTCTGCCGTGTTGCTCATCGGGAAGACGTGACCGCATGCTACGCAATGGCTCCTGTGGTCGGAAGCCGTTTCTACTTCCCATTGTCCTTACCACCACTGAGTGGGACTTTTACATAGTGCCCTCTGCCTCTAAAGTGTGTGGTCACACTTGATGTCTAGATTGCCCAGAGTGGCAGGCCACCCAGGGGCCAGCTTCAGGCAGGAGACCAAGGCCAAAGGAGCAAGGCTTCCTGTGTCTCCAGATCCCATTTCCCTCCGGTTCCTTTCCCTACCACTCTTCTGGGGTCATTTGTAAAGTTTAGTTACTGGGCTCAGAGATATCAGAGTTGCTGACCATGGATGTGAAAATAGCCTTTGTCTGTATTGGTCAAGGCCTGGGACCACAAAAACAACACCACTCTTTCCTCCAAAGGAATGAGAGAGAGTTTATTCTGGAACCAAATATGAGTGACCATGTGTTGAGAACACAGAATTAGGCTATCCCAAATTCCGTTTTCCAACAGGGTAAAGTTTGGTAGCAACAGAGCAAAGTAAGTCCTAAGCCGACGCAGTAGGTAGGTGGTTTACAGCAAGGTGGGGAAATCCCACCAGAGGCCTCAGATGCCGTCTGAGCACGTTCTTAGCCTTTTGGTTCTAGTAAGTCAGACACAAAGGTAGATGAGGAGTGGCTATTAAGGTGGCTGAAGATGCCCAAAATAAATTGTAATGAGGCTTTGAACCTGCAACATTCCAACCCCTCCACCATCTTTGAAGTTCTAACCAGTTACCTGCCTTGTAGAATGTTTAATGTAAGGTGAAGTTCTTTCCAGGAATTTGTGTTCACAAACCTTTCGTCCTCCAAGTGCATGAAGGACTTTAGCCTTTTGTCGTGGGGTGTGGCCCTTGTGACTGAGAGATGCTCAGGAGTAGGTCATAAGCGCTCCCGATCTGTGTTCTAACTTGTGGCCCGTCTGCCTTTGGTGCAGGAAGCTTGCTGCGGCCATGGCTTTCTGTGAGCACTGGACTGGGGGTCTGGGAGGGAAGGCCTTCCTCCTTCTCTGGGCTCACACTTGGGGACTCATCTCCTTAGGCCCACTGCCAGCCTGGGGTGAACACACTGACTCTGGGCGCCCCTGAGGGAGAGACGAGTGAGTTCAGTCAGCTCTGCAGGCTGTTCGTGCCTTTGAGCAAGGCCCGGTGTGGAAGGATGCTGCACGGGGGGCCACTTCTAGAAGTTGCTTTTCTATTCACATGGGACTCAGTGTCGAGAGCGTCTGCAAATGATCAGGTGCAGGAGGGTTTGCATCAGAAAAACGAAGAAGTCATTAAGACGCAAGACCTAAAAGCTGCAGTAAGAAAGAGTCCAGGAAAGTCACTTTTCCCCTTGCTCTTCGCACGACACTTTTTTTTTTCTACTTTTATTGA